CATTCCAAGAGTCATGCCAGTCGAGCTTTGCAGTGGTGCCATCGATCTGCAGAGGAAGCCAGATGTAGGTGCTCGCGGCAAGATTCGTCGAGTGCCATCTGTCGCCCATGTAGATCGCCTTATCTGTGCCTAACGGAAGGACGAAGCTGACTTGACTTCTATAGGTGGTAGAACCGACAGGAGCAAACTCGGTCCATTCAGACCAGGGGCCGGAAAGGGATGTGGCATGGCTGTAGACCTATGGGGCTATTAGCTGGAGTGCTCGTCAATCTAGGCGCGAAGAGTTTACGTTGTCGTTAGGGTTCCAGCCTGTGAGGTGGGAGCCGAAAATGAAATATGTGCCATTGCGCTTGACGAGGGCAGGCGACTCGGCGAAATACTCCCAGCCGAAAGTCACCTCAGCAACATCCAGATAGTCCTCTGTAAGCTTGATGATGCGGGTTCCGTACTCGCGCTGGCGTAACGTTAGTGTCTCGGAACTATTACTGCCCATGCGAATTGTTGCTTACGTCCTCAGATAAGAGATAGCCAGCGCCATCATCGTCTTTGAAGATACCAATGTCACGGCTCTGGAAACCAAGCGGGCGGAAGCTCCGGATGTACTCATACTCGCCGCAGACAGTGTCACCTGTCGCAACACCGACACGCGCATCCTTGTAGTCTGACGAGTCGACATGGAGATGTAGGACGTATTTGCCAGTGACATCGTTCTTGGTGACCTTGGGCCGCTCGATGATACGATTGGGGCCGAGATCGCCAGCTTCTTCAGTGCGAGTCAGAAGGCGTCCTTCGAAGCTCCATTCGACCAAGTTGGTCGACGAGTAACAGTTGACAGCCTGGAACAGCGCGCCGTCGGTCTTTTCCTCTCCAATCATGTAGTAAACGCCATTCTCCTCGCTGCTTTCGATTAGCCCCAGTCTGATCTGACAGACGCGCGTTTTCCTCCGCAATTATCCACTAATAATAAGGGGCCCTAGGTCGTGTTGAAAACCTACATGATGCCGGCTCCATGGGCCTGTACGTGTTCTCCAGTGTTTGTCTACGGACCAATTGTCAGGCCCGAATTACCCTGGCTTTCCCAACGGTCAATTACTCACAGCTGTCCAGGTTGCCCCGGGAACAATACTCAGAGCAGCATTTACGCTACCCAGGGAGAGTGATGCGGCTAAGGCAAGGGTTGTGGAACGCATGGCGACTTTGGATCTCGAAAGGTTGAGTTGACTGTCGTGGTTAGGAGATTTGCCGATTGAGCCTTGAGGCCAGAGTCTCTTTTTTAAGTCGAGCATCTACCGATGCTCATGGGCGTCACCATTGTTCGATCACACCGTCTTGGCGATGGTATGTCTTGGCGATATACTCCTACAACACACCTTACTGAGGTAAGGGTCAAGGCATATTACGTAGGTGATCAGTATGAGGAAGTCTTCTGGTTGTTGCGCGTATAGGGACCATTGTTGCCTCGGGTCAGTCCCAGGCGAAAGAAGCATAATCATCAAGTCAGCCAGGGTAGCATCTGAGTTGCGACATTCGGTTAAGTCTCCGGCCAAGAAAGACAAATGGGGATCTCGGAGCCGAACATGGCGGTGTATTGATGGTACCCTTAGCGGTGATGGCTCCCAAAAGAACCCTGCCTTTTGGCTGGGAAAACCTGCTGATCCTGGGACCCAAGCGATCGTAAAGGACGAGATCAGCAGGTACATGCACCCCAAATGAGGGGAAGAGTAGCTGCCAGTCACGCGTGCTCTCGTGTTAAGCGGCAGAGGAAGTGGTCGTGTACCCCATAAGAACATCGGTATTGAACGTATAAACATGTGAAAAGTGAAAAAAGACGAGCTCAAGCTTTGATTTGGCTAATGACAACTAAATCCCAAGAGTAAACCATGAATTTATGTCTCTATTCACCCTAAACTGGTGCATCCCCGCAATGGCTATCGGTTAGTCTCTTGGCAACAAACTGAGCTTTGCTTCTTGTAATAAGCGGTTCCTGTCCTAGGGCATCAATATAGACGAGTCTAGGACTCTAAATTGCAACCTTAACTCTGAAGGTTACTCAACATAGCGAATCTGATGTCCTGGAAACATGTTTCTGGACGTTGTTCTGTCATGCAGGGCTTCTCCCTTGACACTAATTGTCACCAATGCTGGCATTGAAACCACCGCAATTTAAGCTTATTTTATCAAAGAACCAAATATCTATCTGCCTGCAGTGTCAGACAAGCAATCTGGCCTGTTCTGACTCTGGGGCTAAACCGTCCAGGGATGGGTTCAATATCACGGCCCTACGGACTCGGATGAAGTGGTGTGAATTTGACGACTGTCGCCTCGATTGGTGTGCTGATGGTAAGTCAGGCCCTGTAGGAACACTGCACAAATATCATCTAGGATGGCCCTATCAGGGTTGTGATTACAGAAAAGCGAAGCTCGGACTGGAGCCTGCCAACCTTGATAACGTTTCATAACCTCACATGGACAGCGACTTGTACAACATCGGAACCGGGCATAACACAGTGATGAGTTAATTTATTTGTCTTGAAACAAAGCGTTTCAACTATGGTACAGGCATTACTCCGCCCTCAGGAAGCCCTCATAGGGGTATCAGATGTATGCTGCATGTGTAGTCGTGCTACTCTATTTGGCCTCCTTCTTGGCCTTGCTGGCAATCTCCTCGGCCTTCTTGGCCTTGTTCTCGAGGACCTTCTTGATCTCCTCAATCGTCTCCTTGAACAGCCTCTCACCCTCGTCCTTGTGCTTGTCGGCAACCTCGCGCAGTTGCTTCAGCTTGGGCATGATCTGGTCGCCGTCGGGAATCATCTTAAAGTATTGGTCGAGGCCGAAGCTCTCGCTGAGCTTGGAGCCCTTGGACTTGGCCTTGTCGACGGCGTCGCCGACGTAGCTCTCTAGGCCACCTAGGTCGCCCGACTCCACGGCCTTCTTGGCCTTTTCGAAGAGCTCCTTGGCGTTGCCTTGCTTGAGGGCGTCGGCGTTCTGCTCGACCAGCTCCTTGACCTTGGGGTTCTTGTCGAGGTAGGGCTTGGCCTCCTCGAGAGCCTTCTTCCAGGCCTCGTCGCCGAGCTTGCGGACCTGCTCGACCTTCTCCTCTATGAGCTTGCGGGCCTTCTCAAAGTTGCTGGAGGTGAAGCCACCGGCCAGAACGTCCTGGATCTGCCTCCATGTCTCGTCGACCTGCTTCTTGGCCTCGGGGCCGTACTTGGCTCCCATGTCCTTGAGCTGGTCGACGTTGCCGCCGAGCTTCTCCTTGAGCTGAGGGTGATTGTCGATAATGTCGGAGATGGCGTCGCCGCCGAGGCTGGCGATCTTCTTGGAAATGTCGGCCAGGACTTCGTAGGCCTTGTGGACGGCTTCAAGGCTCAGGCCAGCCTTGGCGACCTCCTGGAACTGCTTGTAGGCATCGTTGACAATCGCGTCGGCCTCCTCCTTGTGATTCTCGCGGACGGTCTCAAAGTCGTTGAAGGCAGAGTCGACGTAGGCACGCCCGCCGGGGATCCAGGCGACGTAGGAGTAAGCAAACTGCTTAATGTAGTCGATGGCCTGGTCGGCAGAAGGAGTGTTTTCTTGCAGCTTCTGGGCGGCGGCTGTGTATTTCTTCTCGGCCTCCTTCGCAGCCTTGTTGACCTTGGAGGCGGCGCGACCCGCGGGAGTGAACGAGTAGATAGCGAAGAAGAGACCGGCACCAGCGATACCACCGGCGACGCCAGCTCCAAAGTGGGAGTTGCCCGAGCCTGCGCTGCCTGTTGTCGATGAGGAGGTTGTGGTGGACTGGAAGCGGATGGGCTGTTGGCGGGGAACGCGGACGGCGCGCGATGCTCTGGGAACCGAGCGAACGAGGGGTCTGGCGGACATCATCTTGGCGGTTTGATGCGTCGGCAATTGGCGAATCCAACGAGGCGTTCAACAGATTATGAAACAGGAATATGCTCGTGGAGGCGGTTCGGACGAGTAGAGTAAGTAGAATAAGCAGATGATTTGGGTATCAAAGGTGTGGTGGTCGAGGGGAAAAGGTATGCTGAGGAGAGCAAAGACACGTAAGCGGACAGCTGGCTGATTTTGAGCAACGAGGAACGAGGAACGAAGGACGGGATTTTCCTTCTCGGCTACGAGATTTCCAGGCTAAGATGCATCGGAAACCCTGGTGGCGCACACGAGCAAACAGGGAAGACATTCGTCACACGTGCTTCCCTCTCAACGGCAACTGAAGTCAGGATGACGAGCTATTGGAGCTGAACGCCAAGGCTCAATTGACTCCCGTCAAGGGGGGGACGGGGGGGAGCTGATTTGTTGAACCATCATCATCTCACCAACAGAGCTGACTCCGTCGATGCGCAGGAGCTGAAAACCGGGACTTGCACCTCAGCAACCACAAGATCTGACGACGGACGGACCTGGACCGGGAGAGAGAGGAATGAAAACTCCGGTAGCAATGACCGGTTAGTGACGTCAACGGCGTCCATTATCAAGGGGTAGCTGTTTTCCTCTTCGGGATACGCGCTCCGCAATGCCCTCGAACGCACCAATGAAAAGGAGATACACGAAGACAACAGGACGAGAGATGAACGGCCCCTGGGAGAGGGTCGTCTAGCCCCAAACTGTCAGCGGGAGATCGCCGATCGATTGACTTGTGGGGAAGCATACTCTCGGACAAGGAAACGCCCTCGTCATCGTGATGAGCTGAGGCGCCGTTGCCCCATTCGAGCTTTGCTGCTTAACGGGAGTTGACACGGCTGACGACAGTTCCGTCTTGCCAAGGCGTGGCTCGGAGAGGGATGGCGCAGCAGTGTAACCAGTTAAGGTCCGTGCAAGAACATGCAATGAAGCCCATGATGAGAATGTTTTGCTCAGGCGCGGCGTCAACTAGTCACATGACGGGAGCATTAGAAGACATGCAATGCGATCAACAGTTCGCAACGAAACTCAGATGGTTTCACATCGGTCACTGTTGCTAGCCATGGACCATTTGTATTGATTTGTCTCGTTGAGCATACGGCGCCACCTTGCCCTAGAGTGTATTCTGGTGCTAATCAAAGAACCAAACTGTTAGCCGTCTTATCTTCTCGCCAGCTGAGCCTTGCAAAGCTTAACTCATTGAACACTTCGGAGCGTTTGAGTTGAATGGCTATGCTTACCGTTTATTCTAATACGTTGACAACGTTTGAAGCCGCGTGTTGCGACCCGCAAACAGGAGTGTTCCTCCGCCATCCTCATCGTCGTCACCGTAACCCTTGTCAGTGTCACCTTGAGTAACCACGCTCCAAGCATCATCGCCAATGCGCACATCTCTTGCGGCATCAAAACGAGAAGCTTTTTCTGGACTGGCAAGAGAAATGCCCTCAACTAGGGACGCCAGTCCGCCAGGATTGGTTGAAACGCCCGTGACGGATTGATACGTCGGCCACGACGGGTATGTGTCCGAGTCGAACCTCTTGCGCTCAGAAACCTTTTCACTCAGCGCCTGGAAAACATCCTCACGAATCTTTTTCAAGACAGCATCGATCATCTTGACTTTGTACTGCGAGGTCTCCCCCTCTACCAAGACATCGGGCACCACCCAGTTGGCGTACACGTTCCGGTGAGAAGGCCGGACCCTCACGCCGCTGTTGTGCGCTGCGAAATAGTACTCACAGAGGCGGCACGTGGGCTTGCTGCAGCCTATGTATTTGATGCTGTTGTAGAACGGTATCGAATGTGTCTCCTCTGCAAATTCTGTCCGGAGCCACTCCAGAAGGAGCACTTCGCTGTGGGCAATAGGTCGAAAGGTTTGCTTGCAGCATTGATGGGCAATCAGTCTGTCAAGGTCGCACCGCTGGAGTTCGTTTGCGTAACGTTGATACATCTCCTGGTCAGCCTCGTCGGATGTCATCCGAGAGATTATGACGCCCGCGGAACGGACCGTTGTCCTTTGGTCCGGTGGTAGACCAGCCTGAAATGCGTTCATGGGGTTTGGGATAGGCCTGCTGGAATTTATGAACCGGATTTCTAAATCTTCCGTGTCAAAGAGCTCAGGGTAGCGTCTGCGTGCCCTGAGAATCGCCTGAATAGCCCTGAAATAGGACGAAAGACGGCCGATGAAATGTTGTAGCTCACACCAATGCCGGGACTCGTTAATCTTGCCTGCCTTGCCCCTATCGGCTATCTTTTCGAACATTGGCGACTGATGCAAGTCAGTGGCTGCTCGTACCAAATCCTCGTCGCTCGGTGACACCACTGTGACAGGGTGGTTAGGAACATTTCGCTCTTGAAATTGCTACGAGTACTCATACCTGAAGCATCATCTTTATCAGGCTGGATTTGTTGGTCTAGCGCAGTTTGTTGAAGAGTAAGAAGCACCGCCCTGAGCGAATCACCTAGTAGTCTTCAGCCCGGCTGCATTGTGATCCCAAATGCCTATTGAACAAAAGGACTTACTCTCTTCTGACAAGAGTATCGTACAATCTACCAAGCATTGAGAAAGGCGATCCAGAAGACTTTTTCGATACCACCGAATCCGTTTGTGGTTGAACCTGAGAATGGTACGAAGAAGATGTCCAAAGGTTGGAGAGCTTTCGTCGTCTCTGCAACTGGGTTTTGCGAATTCTCGGTTTAGATAATCCAAAACACTGAAAATAAACTCTCTGGCTTCCTGGGCATCCTCTGAACGCCTTTGGTTGGATGCGAATACATAGAGCAGCTTGTCAGGCGGTCGGACAATAGCTAGGGATGTGACAGTAGGCCCGTGGCGCTTATTATCACAGATTTGAGCCAGTTTGTTGATGAAGCATTCTAATGTTCTACTGTGGTTGTCTTCTGCTTCTGAAGTGTCGCTAAGAGCCTTTTCTCGAATGTCTCGTCCGCAGGCCTGTTGTAGGCTAGTGAGGAAGGCCAAGGCCTCAAAAAAACGATTGAGCCTCTTACAAAGCTTCAAGCTTATGGCATGGTCTATTCCATCAGAGACAACCATTACTTTTGTTGTATCTTATTAGTCAAGCCATCCGATCAAACTTTTGTTTATTGCGTCCCTCACCTGTTCCTGGGGCCTTGCCTCCGTTGCGTTTTTTGGTCCTTGACTTTGTCATGATAACAGATGGCGGGGGCTTTCGAATGAACCAAGTATAGAATAAAATAAGAATCCAGGGAGACCTTCGATCTTCACGAGTGTTTCCCGAAATATTGACAACAGTAATCGAACTAGAATGCTGTGGAGATATATGAGGAAAGCTGTTTTCCGGTGTGGAGCAATCCTCTCACTTCAGCTTGATGAATGGATCAAAGATGCACCTAAAGGGCAGGCTTCCTCTATATCATGTATCTGCACAATCACACTCACAGGTACAATACCAGTTGTCTTGACCAACATCTTGGCTAACCAATCGTTTTATCTCCTGGTCATATATCTGGCCGGCTGATGTGGCCCCAAGACATGCAATGCAATGTCAGAGGGCGTTGGAGATATACAGAGAGACTTTATTGGATCCGCTGCACATCTATCCAATGCTAGAGGCTGCGGTCCACAAATTTAGTGTTCAAGGCGGAGTCGGTGACAATGAATGCCCTTCCCAACGCAAGGCTCTAAGGCGTACTGCAGGGCAAACAAAGGTGATATGTGCGAGCAAGGTCGTCGGCAATCGTGTGTAAGGCCGCAATGCTTTATTAAAGGTTAGGCATCTATTCCTAGATTGGTTAGAATGCAAAGTACTGCATAATTCATATCATGCAGTCGTGGGCATTGTTGGAGGCTTGCATATGTGGCCGAGTGCTGACGCGGTGTTCCCCAAATGTGCACTCCAATCAACACATTCGAACTCACCGAATAGCCCATAACATACATAGGCAAGACTTCTCAATACCATGTACGTTGGCCCTTGGTGCTTGCCATTGGCTGCCTGCTCTGCATGGCACATGACATTGGCCCTGGGCCTTGACAAATAAATCTGCATATAGCGCGTTGGACCAACAGCATTCTGCTGAGAATGAGGAAGAAACTCAAAGAAAGTCGGAATACTCAATTTAATCGCAGAATATGACAGCCCCAAAGGGTATAATAAGAGCTTGTGTGTATAATCCTTTTATTTCCTCCTCTACTCTATTGTTGTACGTGGATACGCTTTACCCATCACATACAGATGCCGTCTCTTTGAATTCCGAGTTGACATAATTTTACTCGGATCTTTGAGGGATGATTCTTATCGACTCTTATTAAATCTTTGGAGGAAACTTGGGAACTGGGGCAGCCAAAAGTGTCGTGAGCCGGATTCTGTCCACCTTCGTTGTGGATGGTAACGCCAGGGACCCCGTCCAAGCGATTACGCAAGGTCGATACAGGAGGGAAATACATCCCTTTTCTGTGTTCTTGATCCCCAGAGGTACCTTTTCCCCTATAAATTATTTGAAGATAATCTTTTCTTTGATTTTTGTCTATTGGGCAGTCGAATATTGTGCGATGAAATGGGTGATCAGACCATATCTAACGTCGGGACAGCGGTCATGCACCACATCACAAGATCCTCCATGCCCACCCAGGCGGCATACAGCCTGTCTGATACAGGTGACCCTGAAGACTATCCCTCCACCCAAAGAGGATATTCTGATGCCATTGTCGACCCAGCTCTGCTACACCAACTCGACTTGAGAGCAGATGATCAATACCAAAGCATATCATATTCTCAGTCTTCCGCAGCCACAGCAATTGCAACTTTGGGACTGTAGGCTCCTGAAGCTCAATTGTTGCATTCGGGCGATCCATCTCTTGTCCCGCCGCCACGCAGGTGTGCAGAGTGGGACGATGATGACGCCAGGATGGTTGCGGGAGAAGTTTTGCTTGATTCTGAAGGCTTTTATGGTCCATATTCGACCCATGAACTCGGGGTAAACTCAACCATCGGTTTTCAGGACAGGAAAGAGGGTTCCAAACGCCAGGCACAAGGACCATATGCCTGCGAGATATGCAATAACAAGTTTTACGACAAGCAGCACGAGCTTAAGTAAGGGAAATTCATCAACAACAACTCTTGAAACCTATGGTGGTCTGACTCCATTGTGTAGCAGGCATATGAAAAAGCATATCAAGCCGTTGGCGTGCAAGTCGGAAGGTTGTGAACATCGATTCGCCGAACAGAGGGACTTGGGTCGACACGAACAGGTTTATCATTCTTCCCAAAAACACCTGTTCAAGTGTGATGAGTGTCTCAAGGATTTCACAAGATCGGACAATTTAACGCGCCATCAGAAGAAGCCATGTAAACGCTAAGTGCTTCAAGATGGGGGTGGTATGGCCAAAGAATCTTCTTGTTTTATTTCAAGCCATTCCCCCCCCCCCTTCCCTTTTAGCTATGTAATGTTTGCGGTCTATTAATTTTTGTGTTGTGCTATGTATTTGTTCGAAATTTTGGTGTTTTGTTATTAAACGTGCACCTAGCAGTTCCTTGACTACTTGGGTATCCCCAAGTTCTACCATGCTAATTCCTTTGACCACATGCAACACTAGATGTAAATTCGGCAAGTCGAAGTACACCGCATCTGTCAAGATTATAGTCGCCGCTCTGCAATGAGCATGCTACAAACTCGACATCAAGCATGTCACGGCTCACGAGCTATTAGCCCAACGCCGTGGACTCCGTCTCGATCATGAAGGCGGTTGTTATGGCTCACAGTTTCAGGGAGAGAGGCAATGTCATATTCCCGCACAACGTCACCAAGCTGCCCAGTCTCTAGGTTGTGACTTTCCTTCATCGTGGGGTCTCGAATGCATTTCAGTGCAAGTTTGTTCATTTTCCTAAGACGCAAGTGGAATGACAACTTCTCATGCGGCATCAGCCGGCCAGGAATGAGCGCTGGAGTGCAACGCGGATTCGACACTGCTGCGATAGACGGCGGACATAACTCCACAGCAGATAAGTTCCCCAGAGACCTTGACAACAACGGAAAGAAGGTGCTTTTGGGACACAAGGCCCGCCGCACCTAGGTGCAGCGAGCGAGGAAGGTTGTCAATATATTCTACGGCCTAGCATCTGCATTGTCATACATCAGGCACATCCGAAGGTATGCAACAAGACCTAAAGGCCGCTAAGCTCTACTTGACGCAATTATCGGGCTTGGTTTCAGTAAGGTGCTCAATGCCCCGGGCATTAACGCCGGGCCCGAGGGTGAATGGGGCGCGCCGCTAGGCGACAAGCCTAATGAAATGCCTGTGGAGTGTTTGAAGAACTTTGTCTTCAACAATGCTGGGTTGGCGTGGTCAAAGTATAAAAAGACCACCGCGGGTTGAATAAAGGATAGCAAACCGGCCAACCGGACGCCAACAGCGTGGTTCTCAAGCTTCAGCGGCAACACCAAAAGTTAATGTATATCAATACCATGACTAGGTCGCTGCCCATGTCTCTGACACTGTCTTTAATTATCACCGGAACTGGGATACCGCGCAATTCGGCAGTGACATCGAGGGCGTTCATGGCAGGTTTCGCCTCTTCCTCCTCCATGGTGCCAGACACAACATGGCCGTCAACGCGCCGTGGTGCATTGGTGGAATGAGCGAGGTAGGGAAGCTCAGGCGGCGGCAAGTCTTTAATTCAAACCATTAATCAATTATATAATGATGCCTTACAGGCTGCCAAGCTGTGGGTTGGCTAAGGAGTCACAGATCAGCCCGGAGTATCCTAACTCGGCGTTACAGAAGCGAATTGGGAGGGATGAGCAATCAATGTCAGAAACCACTTCTACTATAGCATAAGAACAAGAATGAAAGGTAATGGAGGAGCTTAATACTAAGACTATATACCAAATTGAAAGACTAGCGGAGGTTGGACGATACATGTAGATATGTCTGCATAGTTGCAATAATGCTTAATGCAATACTCTGGATCATTCTCTATATAAATAACCACCGCGATAAAGTCTCACGTGCCATGCCATGTGACCTCGCGTGCTTTTGCTGACCGAGAGAAAGACGCGTCGCCACCCGAACAGGAGGGGCATTGTTCATCATCATAGCCCATCCACGTTCCCTCCCAACAGGCACACCTGCGCACCTCTGCACCCTAGAGGCATCACAACTGTCGACAAAGAAGATATGCACCACACTACTCGGCTCCTGGCCTCGAAACGTGCCCCTCGGACAGCACCTCTGCCTCTCCGACAGTCATGACGACACCCCCGTCGCCGCTTCCTACCGACGACTTGTCGGAAGATACCAAAGCAACTTCAGACAACCGGACGCTAAAATACTCTCTGCTGGGCCCTTCCTTGACCAAAGCTGGACAAGACGCCGTTGACCAGTCAAAGGTTGGCCAGATCTGAGGAGCACCAACAGACTACGGGTTCCAGAATGCTGCTAACACATGGCCGTCGCAGGTGTCCGAGATCATATACAATGCATCCAAGGGTTCCAAGTTCTTCAATCGAGAAGAGGAGCGTGACAAGATCCTGACGAAGAAGATCGAACAAATCCTTCACAAGAAACGTGACCTCGAGAAGCAAGACCTTAGCCGTGAGCTGCGCCTTGCCGACCAGCTCATTACTCAACTCGAACTTTCCCGGGACTTGACCCAATACATCGTTCATGTTGATTGCGACGCCTTTTACGCTGCCGTCGAGCTTCTCGACCGGCCTGAACTCAAAGATGTCCCCTTTGCTGTCGGAAGCGGCGTTCTGACGACGTGTAACTACGTCGCACGGAAATATGGTTGTCGAAGCGGTATGGCTGGGTTCGTAGCCAAGAAGTTGTGCCCCGAGTTGGTGATGCTCAAAATTAACTTTGAGAAATATACTGCCAAAGCTCACGAAGTACGGGAGGTGTTAGTAGAATACGACCCTCGATTTGAAAGCGCAAGTATAGACGAGGCCTATTTAAACATCACAGAGTACTGCACAGACAAGGGCATTGGCCCAGCGGAAGCGGTCGAGCAGATGCGCCGAGAAATCTACGAGAGGACTAAAATTACCGTCTCAGCCGGGATCGCAGCCAATGCAAAACTTGCGAAGATCTGTTCGAACATGAACAAACCGAACGGCCAGTTCATCCTGCCCAACGATCGATCCGAGATTTTGCGATTCATGGCAAAGCTGCCGCCCCGAAAGGTCAACGGTGTGGGCCGCGTGCTCGAACGGCAGCTGGCCGAGATAGGAATCAAGACATGTGCGGACCTGTATCCTCAGCGGCATTTCCTCCGACCACTGTTCGGTGAAAAGGCGTACGAGTTCCTGATTAATGTATACCTCGGCCTAGGCCGTACTCGGATTCAGCCTGCAGAAGAATACGAGAGAAAGAGCGTGGGCACTGAAAGCACGTTTCGGGATATGTCTGATCCGCAACAGCTGAGAGAGAAGCTGAAGTGGACGGCAGGAGAGTTGGAGAAGGACATGAAGAGGGCGGAAGTTAAAGGTCGGACACTGGTGCTCAAGGTAAAGATGCACACATACGAGGTTTTGACTCGCCAAGTCGTGCTGCCCAGAGCGATATTTCTAGCCGACGACTTGTACCACTTTGCTCTTCCGATTCTGGCAAAGCTACAAGAAGAGATGCCGGGCATGACGCTACGGTTGATGGGTCTACGTTGCACTCATTTGGTCAGCACCAAGAAGCCGGATACAATGGCGTTCTTCGGGTTTCGATCCCGTAGATCCGAGTCAGGTACATCCCCAGTGAAGCCTTTGAAGGACAATGTCAACGCTGGGGCCGACAGTGCGCTAGACGACGACGGCTGGGAACAATGGCCCAGAGAGGAACTCCCGGGACTCGACGATGATCAATACTTTCAGTCCAATGCCTTCCAGGAACCTGTTAACCTTGACGACGACAAGTTGAGCCCGGTTAGGAGACATGGGAAAGAGATCCAGCCGAATCCGATACGGGAGTATGCCCCAGTCAACGATGAAATGTGGGATTGCCCCATTTGCAACCGTCCGCAGGCACCAGACGAGAGACAGTTCAACGAGCATATCGACTTCTGCCTTTCGCGGCAGACGATTCGTGAAGCTGTGCACGGAGATGTTCCTGGCCCAGCTCCGAGATCGACAACGCCGGACATGAAAAAGGCCAAGGTTGGGGGCGAAAAGAAACGCGGCAGACCACCAGCACGACCGCCAAGTGATGACCCTCGTCAAAAGAAGCTTTGCTTTGGGTGACGACGCTTTACTTCGTATCGCCAAACAGAATTCATAATACCATAACATCACATGACTCAAGCTGTATGCCGGGTGTGGAGAACGCCGCCCCGCCACCACAAGTCGAATGTGTCTGACCTTGAGGCCGACGCTCTACCTATCCATTTTCAGACCCCACGCGATGTGCCGGCACTCGGACGATGGCTAAGGCGTTTGCCCCAGGCAACTGGCGCACAGTGACGGGCGGTGCTGTGACTTGGCCCAAGGCGCCTAAGTAGTCCATAGCCCAATGAGACAATGACCAATGAAACAAAGTTACGAGGTTGAGTGTAATATTGATGGACGGAACTCGGCTGCCCCGGAGTGCTCCCCCATCTCTTTTGCAGCCTATCAGCCTCTGGGGAAATCAGTCCAAGATCTCGGACATTGCACTCTGTGCATTTCTTGCCAACGTCACTTTTCAGTGTCTTATGAAGTCTACATTTCATCCGAAGGCGCTCCGATGCAATCCTTTGCAGATGAATCACGTCACTCAATTCAAAACGCTATGTGGGATTGTGACCATTCGTTTCGGATATATCTACTATTAGGCAGGATCAACACGGCAATACCTTGGGTAGTCTCATGAATTTCGATGCCTACCACATATCTGAAAAGCAATTTGACTCGAGATACTCCAAGCAGGTAGAGATTTTCGCCGGTTCCACGTGTAGAAGCTTAACAGTGAGCTACGTAGGCAGCAGGCAACGGTCAGATTAGGACCGGTTGCTCCCTTGCAAACTGTCGGGATCCAGGAACCAAAAGTTTCGGCGCTTATCCCAGGTTTCTACTAGTACTGTACAGACCATGGGTTGGACCCCTTGGGCCCTGACAATGCCATATACTGTTGTTTCTCGCCGGTCGCTTTTGCTGTCAGTCGAGGTTTCTCAACGAAGAGAAGATTCGGTCCCCAGAAGTTCATGGAGAGAAAACCCGGGTTCAGAGTGTCTAGGCCTACTTCAGCCATCGACCATATTACGTATCTTGCCTCGTTAAATCGATTGGCTGAACTGTCAAGACCGAAAGAGATTATATCAATGAAGGATTGGCTGACGCCATTAAGCTCGACAAGCGCCCGATTTCTCCTTGGCGCCTAATAAACGGATATACGTTGAAGCTAGTGCTATTAGTCTTCATCTTTAGGAAAAGCCCATGCAACAACATCTCAACTCGGGTGCATTCAGCTTGGCAAGTTGGCATATGTCTTAGCGAGCTACGCCTCTTCGGTAAGATCAACGCCTCTAATGTGAAGCCACCAGACTTCCTGCGTCTAAATTCGCCATAGCGCAACAACTTCGGCTTGGGCGATAAGGTGTAAGGGCATAATTCAATAAAAGTCGCAATCTCAATTCGTCACCATAGCCTAACCCAGTCAGCTGGATCTTCTGAGATGTGATTCACGTCAGGAAAAGCGCCATTGTTGATGTGGACAAGGATCTGCACGACGGCTTCGCCGTTGACCGAATTACACATGGAAAAGCATTGTGAGAAGGGCCGACGGCTGCCGGGGGGATGCCCGGCCCGTGGACTATTATCGCTTGAGGAGATTCTGCGTTTTCCGGAATCATGTCTTCCGGCCCATCAACATTCCAGCATATAGCTCACTAGAATTCCCGAGACGCTGAATCACTACCATCTTGGAATTTCGTCACGTTCCTGCATCTCTCACCGACCATCAACTCCTATTTTGCGTCAAGGAGCAGTGGTAGACCATCAAAGATCAACAACCATGGATTCGGAGACCGAACACACGCAGGAGCCCACGCCGGCGCCCGCCTTCAACAGCGAGCCGGCGGCGGTATTCTTGCTTGTCTGGACCGGGGTTTGGACAGTCACCCTGTTCTGCGGCATGGCATTCCTCTTCTTCCACCGCAAAATGCCTTTTTTGAAGATCCGTGGCCTGGCTTTGTCGTTTGCTGCCGTCATCATGCTCCACCTGTACTGGGTCGCGGTGCAGGTTACGCTGTCAATACGCGAATTTATTCCCAAGGGCTTAGAGTTCTGGGTCATGAGCCTTTACTTGCCATTTGGCATTGCTCTGTTCCACGCCTCCAACAGCCGCTTTCTCTACATTGCCAAGGCGCAGCGCAAGTACGCCGACAAGCCACTTTGTGAGAAGTCCGAGTCACAGTCACAGTCACCCGCCTGCAACTGGAGAGACAGGACCATTGCTGGGAGGCTTCGGGAGCTAGACTACACCACCAAAATGCTGGCTGTGGTCAGCACGGGCATGGTCGTCCAGGTATGTGACGTTGGCCCGAGCAACGGGACGTGCTTGACAGCTTGGCACATTTCTGACATGCACGGCGATTAGCTGCTCCTGACAGTCGTCATGTATCTCGTCTCACGCAAGTATCACCCATGGTTCGGCGCCCCTGGCACGGAAGTCAAGGGCACCCCCACGCAGCAAAAGGTCGAGATGACCCGCGGGTGGGAGTGGTGGCCTTCAGTCCTTTGGCAGTTCGTCTGGGCCTGGGTAGTTGCACCTGTCATCCTCTGGAAATCGCGCGAGATCAAAGACACACAGGGGTGGCGACTCCAGACCATTGCATGCTGCATCGCAAGGTAGGTGGTGGAATCAAGTCTAGCGTTCCGTCGTCCCTAGGCAAATTCCTGCACCCACCACTAACGAGTCTAGTCTGCACGCTACTCCGATGTGGCTTGCTGCCTTATACGTACCAGACATGGCGCCTGTCAACAAATACTTTATTGCCCCCCAATGGTTAGTTATATGGACCATGCGCGAGCACCCCGCTCGATCATACTTACACAATCCAGGATTTGTCTCTCCATTATCTTCATCGAAATATTCACAATCTTTATTCCGTGTTGGCAAGTGTTCAGGCACAAGTCACTCGAACAAGAGACGCTCGAGGCCATCGCCCTTTGGGAAGCCAAAAACAAGGCCCGTAACGGCAGTGATTCCATCTTCACTGACTCAACCAAGGCTGGGACTCGCGACTCCATCGCCTGGCAGTCACTCTCGCAGCTCGAAAGGGGTACTGGGCGAACCGAAAGTGTTTATACAATGAGCTCTCTGGAGTATATCTTGGACAAGAACCCCGAGCCCCTACGCAAATTCTCGGCCCTCCGAGACTTTTCTGGAGAAAACATTGCCTTCCTGTCGGCGGTTGGGGAGTGGAAGGCATCGATCCCGCGGACTCCAGAGGCTCAGGAAAATTTGTCCGAACTCACCCGTGAGCGATTCAACCGTGCCCTCCGGATCTACACCGAGTTCATTAGCCCCCACCACGCCGAGTTCCAGATCAACATCGCGTCACAAGACCTCAAGCGTTTGGAGAAGGTCTTTGGGGACGCGGCCAGGATCCTACACGGCTACAGAACGGAGCGGTTCATGGACCCCGTGGTCCCCTTCGAGCACGTCCCATTGGGCCAAGGTTCTGCCTCGGACGAATCAGAGGGAGACATCTTGGCACGACATGACCGCATCACGGATCGCGTGCAATACTGGGGGGATATTCCGGAAGAGTTCAATGCGGGGGTGTTTGACGACGCGGAGGCCAGTATCAAGTATCTGGTCCTCACCAACACGTGGCCTAAATTCGTCAAGGAGAGGAGGTACTCGCTATGCTCCGAGGATTCGGGGGAGACCGCCGACACGGAGCACTCGGCCTCGGCGCTGTCGAGGTTCGCGAGGTATATCAGGGCTATGAGGACTGTATCGTAGCGCTGGCGCGCTTTGGGGTAAGGTTGTTTCTTTCTTCTGCGATGATATCCCTAGTCTCTATACCAATTTGTAATTTCCTTTCTAAGATGCCATTCAAAACTTGGTAATATGAATCTGCGTCCAGACCCGACTCCTTGTGAGTCCAAACTGATCACCCACGCCCTGGTGCCGGTAGCTCCGCATTTTTGTCGGAGCTCCGTCGCCCCGGCGCGTTTCTTGCACCCCGTTGTTGCCGTGGTACCGATGTATGACGGACGGCTGAGTTACGGAAACGGCAATATCCCTGGTCTCCCAAACTGGGGCGGCGCGCTAATTTGGGCTCAACAAAGGCAGCTGTTGGACTTACAAAGCTTTCCAGCAGAGATAGGTCCCAAGTTGTGAGACACGGCGAGACGCTTTGCAGCCAAAAAGGCACTATGACCAGCAGTTTTATCGAAACAAAGGGTAGGGACCAACTTTCTAGGCTATTGCTAGCCTCGATAGACGTTGCGATACATCCAATTGCGAAGAAATGGGCATCGATACTCTAGGACGATGATAGGCCCTGTTTCAGTGAACTAGGTGGTAGAACTCAGGCTTCCATTTTCCATAATGTGTCCTAGGCTACTGGTATCTATGTTTCTCAAAATTCGGTGCAACGTCATACCCCTTTATAAGACCACTGGCCTCAGCGACGGCCCTAGATGTTTAAAGCGGCACCCAACTGCCGGTGCGGAGCAGCCTAGGTACTTTAGCTGACCAAATATTGCACAGGGCCCCAAGAGGGGTCAAGGAGCCCGTTTAGTGGCGTGATATGACACACTTACGACACTTGACAGATACAATAGCTGTTCGTTTTCTCAAGAAAGGTTAACAAGAAAGTGATGTACCTGTTGAAGTATATCAAATTCATCTAACAATGGTTTGATGACAAAAGCGGATCCGTAATTGCCACTGCGCAATTACGGCTTATATCACGACAAATGGATTGCGTATTTATCATGAAAACGTCGTAGTTCCAGTTACACCAAAGACCGTTGGGAGGTCTAAGTACTCTCCTGTCCGTATACCTCATCCCTGATGCTACACATATCCCTCAACTCTGCTTCAGAGCCAAACATGACGCTCACAAACAACCTGGCCTCGGCACTGCTATCCGGCTCTGAGTGCACCGGCGCATCGGATTCTCCCCACGTGAACCTAACAATCTGTCCCGCGTGGAGTTCGACGAGGGGGATCCCCTCCAGCGCCTCAGCCAGGTCTGCGCGCTCCTTCTCCTCAGATTCGTAATTGTAGTCGTTTTCGCCCTTTCCCAAGCCGCGGTACTGTGCCTCCACCTTGCTCACAGCGGCGTCGACCGTCTCCTCTGGCCAGAGCATCCGCGTCGGCGGGCCGAGCAGCGTCATGGCATATTTTGCGTGCGGCCGGGGCGACGCGCACACGCAGCCGAACATGCGACCATCGCGGTGCCATCGGGGAACAGACCAGGCATCCGTAGGCGCGGTAATACGGACGCACAGCCAGGTCGAGTGGGTGATGCTATCTTGGTCGGTAGAACTGGCGTGTTGCCGGGCGTGGGCAGCCGCGTGATCAAGAAAGGAGGAGAGGGCCCGGACGAGGCCGTCTTTGTCGGCAGTGCAGTGCTTGAGGATGAAGTCGGAGGCAGAGACAGCGAGGCGGGGGGTGGAGGCTGGACCGTAGAACCCGTACGTACCCTCGCGGCGGACACTTGTAATGGGGCTACGGAAGCCGGAGGGCGGAGGGAACACCTCGAGAGGTTGGCTGGGATGAGACATTCTGAAAGCAGCCGTCTACTGTTTTGACCGCTCTACGAAAAGGTAATTCCAGGAGATAAGTTACACATTACATATATCCGTCAATAGCGCGTGAGACATATCAAATGGGTACGAAAGCCAGAGTCTTAAGAGCTAGTTCAGCTGTGCCACTTATTGAGAAAACACTAAGCACTAGCCAGGCCACAGCGCTTTTCAGTCAGAACAACGCTAATTGTTGAGAATATAAACAGGCCGCCATGGGATCAGCTGCCGCCAATCAGCGAGCGACTCATAGGGGTTCGCCATGAAACCGTTTCCGTGCCCTGATTTGAATGAGTCATCTGATGTGGTGGAAGACGTCTTGCCTAACGTGTAGAGTATGGAAGCTGGCCAGCTCCCGCCACATGGAATCCTAACAAACGCAGTTTGGCGCTGATGCTTCCTCACCGTTTCAAATTCAGTTGAACGACTTGGTTGGACGCGGTCATTTGGCCCCCGTCTGCGCCGCATTTCAGCCTCGATATCGGCATCCGCGGCCATCGATATACTTCTTATCGTACGTTAGGAATGCTCAACTGCTCCGCATTTAGGCAGCCGTTTTGTTGATTTCTGCATCTGATTGCCTGTCTCAACTTCTTTGCATCCACAGCAAGCTACAGCTTACACAAGTACAGAATTGTGGTGATACAACATTCAATTAAGAAAACAACGTTCCATCTGTCATTCCGTCCCGAGAAGCCAGCCCACTCCGAACGACGACCAGCCTCACGGGGGCCGAGGCCACCCTGGCTGAGCGATATCGTTAAACACGTCCAGTACTGATCGTCTGATAACTCACGTGACATATAAAACAGACTGTGTATAGCCCCATGTATCCAAAAGCGTAATACCTCCTCATTAACGCACATTCGATATCTACTCACTCTACGGCAGCCTGCAGGACGCACTGGTCCAAAAGTCAACTTGGGTTGCTACACCTACCCCTTTGCAAAATTCTTAGGTCTTTACTTTGATTGGCTCGCTTAGAGTGCACGGGCTAGTGGCAAAGTCTAAATTTTTTCTTTAGAGAGATTATAATTCTAAGTATAAATAATAAATATTAAAGAATATAGTATAAGTAAATATAAGAATTAAGAATCTTTAATTCTTTTAAGATAAATATAAGTATAAAGAAATAATAATATAGTGTATACTCTTAATAGTAGGCAGGCGCTGGCAATAGTGGGCAGGCGCTGGTAATAGTGGTGCACGCTGGCAACAGTGGGCAGGCGCTGGCAATAGTGGGCAGGCGCTGGCCTACGGAAATAAGCCGGAAGTTGTAAAAGACCAGGATCAGGGCTAAGCCTTTTATGGGCCTATGGGGTGTAGTAAGATTATGTAAGCATTATCTTTAAACCAATTAGACCTTATCAATAGAGATTATAAGTGGGTCTAGATGCACACCATACCGTATCTATATTATCTTTCTGTCCTAAAGAGGTAATTTCTGACTTTTGGACCAGTGCGCCCTGCAGGCTGCCGTATCACTCCCCTACGGCGGTCATCGCAACACTTTTCTTCACAACTGGATAAGACATCTTGTGCTTAGAACAAAACATTTCTACCTCGTTGTTGATCATAATGGCCGACCTGTTCTTGATTCCTGCACTTATCGCTGCGGTCTTTGTGTTTACACGCCTTGTATATGTCAGCCTTCTGCCCAAGCCAATCCCAGGGATTCCATGTAACGAAGACTCGAGTACGCGACTTTGGGGGGATTACAACTACTTCATTGAGATTGAAAAATCAGGAGGTTTCTGGCTAGAATTCTTCACGGACCTGCTTTCGAAGCACAAAACGCCGATTGCCCAGTATTTTCCGGGCCCTTTCGAAAGCGCCCATGTCGTCATTGGAGATTATCGTGAGGCTCGCGACCTTATGACGAAGCGCAGCAAAGACCTTGGTAGGGGTTACAAGAACAACGTGTCGTGGCGAGGGGTGCTCCCCGAGCATTTTATTGCTATGGATAGTTTCCAACCGTCTTTCAAAGAGGCTTCATTTCTCACCAAGGACTTGATGACACCGAGTTTCTTACATGGGGTAGGCTACTTCTGTTTGCATTGCCCTGCAGCACAGCTCTCCATCCTGACCATATGTAGGTATCTGCACCCGCTTGCTACAAGACGGTGCTCAACCTTATCAAGTTGTGGAAAGTCAAGGCAGCCATGGCCAATGGGTTGCATTTTGATGCGGGTGAAGACTTGGAGGGCTTTACCTACGACATTATGATGACTTCAGCATTCGAAATAGCGGAGCAGACCAGTTATACAATGGACCGGCTACGGGCTACTAAGGAAGCCGAGAAAGCCGACTTTGAAGACACCAACCCGTTTCACCCCGCCGACTTTCTACGCGTGGAGAAACCCGAGCTACTCACTGCCCTTCATGTATTGAACGACAGAGTCAGCGGCGCCCTCCAGTCAACATTGCCGAAGACTTCTCTCATGCTTAATGGACTACGCCGTTCGGTTCGCCAAGCCTTCAAATCCAAGAGGACAATCATCCAGTCCCACGTTGACCTCGCCGTTGAAAGACTATCCAGAGGAGGCTCAAAGGAGAAGTTTCACTCAGCAGTGGATTATGTCGTATCCCGCGAAAAGTTGGCCGCTGAGACTGATGGACGGCTACCCGTATTCAACTCTCCGCGTATCAACGACATGCTATGGGGTTACCTGGTGGGCGGGCAAGATTCGACTTACAGCACTCTGTGCTTTACCGTAAAATACCTCACGGCACATCAAGACGTCCAATCGAAGCTGCGTAAGGCCCTGCGCCTCGCTTATTCTGAAGCAGACGAGCAAGACCGTCAGCCGACATTGGACGAGATGGTGAAGACGCAAGTCCCCTACCTGGACGCCTTCATCGAGGAGACTCTCCGTATATGCAGCCCCGCTGGGGCGATCGCGAAGGAGGCACTCTGCGACATGACAGTGTTTGGGCACGTGATCCCAAAGGGTACTCTGATCGTATTCATGCTGGCTGGCCCCACAATCAATATGCCTGGGGCGGAGGTTGAGGAGACGGAACGCAGTGAACTATCGTATAAGATTTCTAGCGCGTGCGTGGATGACTGGTCCCATAGTACGGCAGCCTGCAGGGCGCACTGGTCCAAAAGTCAAAGGGTTACTACACCTACCCTATTAGTTTCTAGAAACACTGCATATTATTAATCTAACCTGTACATAACTAATCAGTCTTTTAAATAAATTATCCTTTTAGATATATTTATATTACTTTATATAGCCTAGAATATTATAGTTCTGCTTACCTAGATACCTTAATTATCTAATTAGTCTATAAATAGGGAAGTGTGTGCCCTAGAGTATATACCTAATAGAAGTATATACCTAGGGCTAATTGTAGGCGCTTTACCCTAACTATAAATATATTTCCCTCTACTTCTAAACTTCTCTTCTTTTTCCTACGCCTAATTTAGAGTATATAAGTGACCTCTAACTATATACTCCTATTAACTTTTATTTAATTTATTTATCTTGTGTACTTGTTTATTTTACTTTTTAATTATTACTAAACTAATGTTTTTTTTTATAGATTTTTATATATTTATATATTCCTAGAGGTGCCTAGTGTTACCTTATATATTTAATAACTTCCCTATATATCCCTATATATCCCTATATATTACTATATATTACTATATATTACTATATATTACTATATAATCTAATAGGTCCTTATACTTCTGTCTACGCCTATTATTAACTATATAACTTCTATATATCTATATAGACTTATATATTATAGCTAAGCTTATCTTAAAAGAGATTAGAGGTATATAGCTCCTAGTAAATAACACTATTCCTATATAGCTTAGTAATAATTCTACTAATATAGAAATTACTGTATACTATTATAAGTGTATATATATATTCTTATATATTTTTACTCTATTTTATACTAATCTATATAGTTGCTATTAAGTATACTTCTTAGTAAGTTATTACCTAGTTCCTTAATATAGAAGACACTTTTATAAGTTTATATATATATTCCTTTTATAAGTGCTAACATCTATATAGCCTTATATACTTAATCTTTATACAAAAGTGTCTAATAGCATCTATACTAAGCGTAAACTTAAGTATAAACGCATATAGAATAGTAACTTAATCCTAATATAGGTGTATAGAACTATATGCCTTAGTTTAAAAGCTTACACTAATTACTAGAAGGGTAATAGTCTATATATAACTTATATAGTTATCTTAAATACTACTACTTATACTAACTATACCTATAACTCTAGTGTAAATACCTATAGCTTTAGTAAGTTCTATATATTTCTAGCTAGTATTTATATATACTTACACTTATATATAGTTCTAGGTAATTATAAGTAATTTAGCAGTAAGCTATTTACTCTACGTAAGTCTAAGGCTATTAAGGCCACCTATGCAAAGATAGACTTTCTTATATAGATCTATAGGCTTAAGCCTAAGTATATACGCTATATTAGTAATACACTTATTTCTATAGTAGATAAGCTTAAGTCTATAGGCTATTATATATATCTATATAACCTTAGTCTTTATTTATATATTTACTAACTTTTATATAGGTGCTAATAATCTTATTAACCTTCTAATCTAGTCTAATAGTAACAGTAATAGTTATACCTAATCTATATACATCTATATATATCTTAGCTAATTTAACACTTTTATATATACTTTTATAGTAGTAGTTAAGAGGATAACAGAAGACATAGGGGTTTACAGAAGGATATAGGCCCTTATAAAAGGATATAGGAGTTTATAGGTCTTAGAGGGATATATATATTTAGGTAATATAGTATATGCCTAGCTAGTTTTTTACAGTAAAGCGTAAAGTTTAGTAGATAAGGTTAGGTTTTTATAGACCTAGGCACCCTTATATACTCTTGTATATTAGTTTTAGTTTACCTAGGTCTTTATATTTCTAGGTTTTTAGATACTTAATCTTATAGTTCTATATATAAAGATTTTTCCCTTGTACACCTCTGTATAGACCTATATATCTTAAAATTTTTTTCTTTAAAATACCCTAGACTAGTTGCCTATTATATAACCTTATATAGTATTCTACACTTATTTAAGAAAAGTTAAATTCTAGATAGACTTATATAGTAATTATTATATACTTATTAAAAAATTATTAACTTTAAGTTTCTTTTACTACTTTTAAATAATTCTTACTTTTAATTAACTATTACTATAAAGTCTATATATAATTCTTAGTTCTTTTACTTTAATATATTTTTAAGCTCTTTTTTAACTACTGTCTTTTTAATTAGAATATTTTTACTACTTTATATATAAAGGGATTTTAAATCTTATAATGTAGCCTTAAAGATATCTAAAGATACTATTTACTATAGTAACACTAAACACCTAAATAGCTCTAAGCTATATATTATAGTATAGTTTAGTACCTTTTATTAGAAGATAGTATAGTAAATATAGTCTAAGACCTAGGCTATAAGTTTCTTTATACTTTTATATACTAATATAGCTATATTATTAGCTAAGACGTCCTTTATAAAGCCTATTATTAAGTTTTTCTTAAAAATATACAAGAATATCTAAAAGAGCTCTAGTATTAACAGAAAGGTTAGACTATACTAAGGCCTAACTTTATCTAGTTAATTAATACTTATAATAAGCTACTTCTGTTTAGGTTTAAGATATATACTACTATTAATGTATACTCCTAGTATATTATATAGTTTTATATAGGGTTCTCTGTATATACTACCTAATCTATACTTACCTAGTACCTCTCTATTATTCTTAAACAGAAGTATATACCTTTTACTATTTATTTAGACTATAGCATAGAAGTAGCCTTTACTACAAGAGGGCATTAGTATCTCTTATAAAAGCGTATAAAATATATACTATCTTAACTAGATATAAATATTCCTATAACCTTTTATAATTATTAGGTCTTTAATAAAAGTATCTATAACGTTAAAATTAAAAGTTAGTAAAATTAATTATATTAAGCCTAATCTATATAATAGAAGGTAAATACTTACTTGTCTATATATATATTCTAAGATGCTTACACTTTATATAGGGATTCTTTTATTAACTATAGTCCTTATAACTCTTTTCTCTAAATTCTCTTTCTAATTAGATTACCTTACTTTTTATTTATATACTACTCCTTTATAAGGACTTTTCTAACTTTATACACCTCTAGAATAATTATTATATCTGTATATAAAAGAATTAGCCTTATAGTGTCTATAGCTAGCCCTAGTTACTCTTTTACTAGCCTAATTAGACTTCTATAATTAATTTTATATAGAAGGTTAATCTCTTAAAAGTACAAGAAATACTTATAGTACTTAAATAGGATAGTATAGATCTTAATCTATACTTATCTATATAGATAATATAAGTCTATAAAGATATTCTTAGTTCTAGAAAGACTTTTTTACTTATTATAAAGTTTTATAGTTTAAAGTACTTTTATATTAAGGTATATAACTTCCTATAGCAATATTTAGAGATATATATTATCTTAAAGGTATCTCTAGAGGTTTCTTTATTAGAGAAGTAAGGTAGTAAAGTTAAGTAGGTAAAAGTATAATTTATTACACTTAGGATTAATTTATAGTAAATCTTTATAAAGTAGTTAACTTTATTCTAAACTAGAAGGTAAACTCTCCTTTAGTTTAACCTATATACTCTCCTATATATCCTTTATCTAATCCTTATTCTTAATACTATCCTATATAGCTACCTCCTAATCCTTACTTCCTGTATTCTCTACCTTTAAGTATATATACTTTTATAATTTTACTTATAAGCTTACCTCTAGAGCTTTAAGTATTAGTTTTTGTTTTATTTTAGTCTAAATAGTGCTAAAGTGTATAGGTGTAGGCTAGACTTCCTTTTATTATATAAAAGTAAGTAGCTTTAGCTAGTAGTGCTTAAATTATTATTTTTTTAAAACTTAAGGCTTAGAGATAGGTAGTTTAATTTATATTTTAGATATAAGTGTAATAGTAAAGCTATCTTTTTTACTAGAAAGTAAAGTCTTATAAAGAAATATTTAGAGATTAAGGGCTTTGTATATAGTACTATAGAACTTTATAATATCTAATAGGTTCTTTACGTTAATTAGAATTACCTTCTACTTATGTCTAAGAAAGGCCTTATCTAAAGTAAATTTTATAATAAGGCACTTTATTATATTAATATATAAAGTATACTTTATAGTTAATAGGAATTATAACCTCCTATTAAACTTCTTAAGGTATTATACGTAAGTGTATATATAAAAACTAAGGCTATTAATATCTACTTTATAATATAAGGTAACCTAAAGACTAATATTAATATAGACAGTTAGGTCTTAAATTAGCTAGTTCTTTATTTATTATATACTTACTTTATACTCTTATAAGCCTTTAATAATTACTATAAGGAAGCTTATTAAAGGTTTTATATCTAGGATATATAGTGTAGACTTAGTTAAGTTTACGTTGTTTTTAGGTAGTTATAATTAAATACTAGTAGAGAATTTTAGGAGTTTAAAGATATTTTTATTAATTAAGGTAAAGTTAATTATAGGTAGTTCTTAGAGGATAGTTAAATTAAGAGAATAAAAAAAGTAAAAGTGCTACTTATAGAGTAACTTTACTATAAAATAGTTAAGGCTGTCCTTTTTAGGACACTTTAATACTATCTTATACTAAATAGTATATATTACAAGTGTACAAGTCTATACGTAAGTGTACATAAGCTATATAGATTTTATCTTTATGTAGATAGGGCTTATAAATGCTGTATAGATAAATTACTATCTATAAAGTAATATTGCTGCTATCTGTACACTAGTGGTAGCCCTAGTACTAATCAGTAACCTAATTAGGCAAGTTCTGACTTTTAGACCAGTGCGCCCTGCAGGCTGCCGTACCATAGCCCATTTCCGCCAGCAGAGTTCCACCCCGAGCGTTGGCTACAGGCTGACGCAGCTGGGAACATAAGATTTAACAGTATAGCCGGGCCGTCCATGTCTTTCAGTACTGGACCTAGGGGCTGTTGGGGTAAAAGATTAGCGTACCTTGAACTCAAGTTGATCGTCACGTTGCTAGTCTGGGACCTGGAGTTCATGAAATTGCCTGGAATGAAAGACGATGGACTTGTCGAAGGACTGTTTACGAAGCCCATGTGGTCCTTCGTCAAACTAAAGAGCGTTACCGGCAGAGCTTGAAGATATTGGATCATGGAATTTAAACACGTTTTCTGTGTGTGTTCTCAATAAGTACACGGTTACTAAGCCATATGAGTGTCTATATGATCCGGTACTGGCTCCCGACCGGATGGCGAGCTGACGAAGCAGCCAGCCACATGGAGCAGGACGAACTGGCAGCGCTGCAAACGCAGGCTTTTGGCCAGGCGTCCAGGTTTGAGGTGCTCAGGAAGGAGGACGTCGAAGCCCTTTCAGAGGTAAAGACACACATCCTTACCTCGCGCACCATGACGGGGGAGCAGGACTAACGATAACCGCAGGAACTTCGTCAGCTCGACGAACGGACCGAGTACCTTCGTCGCACATACAACTCGCCGCTCTGTGATGGTAAGGAGACAGCTTTGCTTATGACTTTGGGAGCGTCTCGGCTTATTTGACTGTCTCTTTCCATTACACAATATCGATAAGAGGTCATGGATTGTAATATACGCTGGAAATAAGTAAACACAAAAGCGTGATAGAATATCTAGACAAGATAGTGTTACCGCGGTCTAAACTCTATATCAAAACATCCAACCTCAGAGCGCGAGCCCATTGCATCTGGCTCTTTGTATATTAGCCACACAGTAACCAGTCGTCGCATTTCCCTGAAATTAGATGACATGATTGTACCCGGAGCGCCCATCTTCAACCCCATTATAGCCAGACCTCCCATCTTCTTCCTCACGGCGATTATATCCGGACCTGCCGTCAGTCACACTGTTGTATCCCGAGCGCCTATCCTCAACACTGTTGTACCCGGAGCGACCGCCTTCCTCTCGTCGGTTGTAGCCCGACCTTCCGTCTTCTTCCTCTCGGCGGTTGTATCCGGACCGGCCATCAGCAGATAGAGCAACATCTGCTTCAGAAACAGCACCGTTGCGGCGTCGAAGAGAGAACGAGTTTTGCTTGCCAAGAGTAGAACGTGACTTGATCTCGGGGGGCAAGATTACCCAAGTTTGGCTGGTAACTTCAAGGGAGGTATTTGTTGGCTGTGAAATTTCCTGCGAATGAACGTGGCTTTTGCAGACCACTGTGCCCTTATTGATCTAGGTAGATATTAGACAACGATGCGCACTAACATAAGATATACATCTCTAATGCAGCTTGATGGATGAACATACTGCTGAGAAGATAGTTTCGTAGTTGAAGAAGGATAAGATCAAGATACAAGTCATCAAAGAGACCATAATAGAGCGACAAGTTGAGATACGGGAGGTAGTCATCTTTGGGACTGGCGCATAAGCCGGCAAGATGGCTTCTTTCGACATTGCGGAAGATGAAATAAGAATGACTGATAACTTCAAAGCTCAGAATGAGAAGATAGCTGGGGAGTAGGGCTTGGCTGAATGAAGATTTGACCACACCAAACCAAGTAGAAGGGCTTCAAACACCGTTGTACTCCTCTTGACGGCTGAGCTGGTTCAACTCAAACTGAACTCCAATTATCAGAGGAGAACAACAAAAGAGCTGGGAGGTGGGCGGTGCTTTTAAAATACAAAACCAGAAAGAGGCAGCACGCGGTTTGAAGTTCACATGTTGGAGGGCATAAGACGATGCATGGGGGAAGTGTCATCAGCGGAAATACCTAATAGCCCCCACAGCGCATCCACATCGCCGGTACCCATGTAGTACAGGTCTCGGCCGATGGTGATTTCGGTCACACCGCATGAGAGCCATGCCTTTCCGGAAATAGTCGCCAGTGCGCCCAACAACGAAGTCCGAAGTCAAATGGTGACGGGGTGGTGTTCGTCACTCATCACGCATATAGCTTCATTCACAAGCCCAGACCTGTTCTCATAGGTCACTTCCTCCAACGTGTTACCAACAGGAGCGGTTAGCCCTGATATGATACGTTGAACGGCCCTTGCTTGAAGATAATGGGTGTGTTATCGGTACCACGTTAGCGGATTCCTTTTAACTCTTTTTGGCACGTCTGACCCGGGCGCAGCTTACCGAAGGCAGACTAACGGCTCCAACGGCCCCCAAAGCAGGACCCTCGGCGACTATACAGGGGGGCCATCGTGAACCCGTTGGAAGTCGTTGTCGCTTCGCCCGCCTTGAGGACGTCTTCCCGGCCTGTGCCGCAGTCGGCCTGTCGCCCTCCGCATGGGGGAAAAAACAAATGCTTACACATTCCGAATCAGGCCGGCTATCACGGCTCGGTGCCTACCAAAGATGCCTGGCTTGCCGTGCTCAGCCCGGTCACCTTGCATTAGGCAGCGACGAAAACCAGGTCTGGATTACTCACGAGATTGTCTTGAGAGATTCTAAGATTCGTGCAATGACAGCCTTAAATTTGGGCCACACGAATGGAATCAAGGAACACCAACTTCATTCGCGTAGTTTTTGAAAACGAACATGCGTATCACCTCACCCTGTCAGAATCTGGAGGTGTGTTACAATGGTGGTGATAAGCGAGATATGATTAGTACTGGTGCGATGACGCCCCTCTCATCGTTGGCGGGCTGTAGCTGAGCTTACTTACCCACCAAGAACTTGTGGATATTGACTTCCGGATCCGGTATCAAAGGACGAGGTGCAGCCAGTACCTATAAAGATAATATATAAATTTATTTCTATCTCAGTTAGTGTGATCAAGTGAGCAGGCCCAGTAAAACTGTTCTCGAGGGCAGGTAGTTGCCGTCTGTATGCACGCAATCAGACTTTTGGCAACCAAAGACATCTCTTTTTCCAACGAACATCGGATCAATATGCCAAGATAGGTTCAATATTTCCACGTTATCTAGCCCTCCCATACGAAATTCTGCTCGATACCGGGAATGAGTGGCCTTAGCGCCATTCCGTAATCTCCCGCGTTTGGCGTTCGAAGGAGAGTGTGAATGTGGAATTTGGCCGGCTCCTTGTTGGTTAAGAAGACGCCAGAGTGATGATCAAATTCGACGAGGATCACCGGGCTCTGAATCCGATAATAAAATGGATCCGCATCACCAAAACCTCCTATCCAACTGAAGTACGTTTCATGAAACCAAGACCTGACCTGGTGGATCCGTATCTCTCTAGCCTTGCGAGGGAGGTAAATGAGATACTGTTCGATGATTCCAACCACAAGCTGTTGCTGCTCGGAATCCATATCCTTCACTAGAATGCCCTCGTACGGCACGACGCGGTTGTCTCGGTATGCGCCGCAAAGGTGTCTTTGGTCGTCGTGGTTCCACCTTCCCTTTGGCATCGCTGGGTCTTTGAGCAACTTGTAAGTCTGCGCCTCCTGTTGGAGGCTTGCAGGGAGTGATTGCATCAGCCGCAGGCCAAGCCGCTCCTCTGTCTCCAATATGCGGGTTCCTTTATAGGGTCCTTGGTCAATCAGGTTCGGCTCCGCTCCAGTGAACCACGGCGATGACACGATCTGACCCTTGTACAGGAAGATATTCAGGCACAGATGATGGCCGTAAAAAGAGAAACCCCATGGCCGAGTTACCGAAGGTTCTCCGAACAACACAAAGTTGTAAGAATACTCGTTGCAGATTGTGGGCGCCTGGACTAGCTCACCCAGGAAACCGTTAACACGCATGGCGCCAAGCGCTTTGGCATAGCCCTCCGGCGACAGTGCGGCCTCAAGAACTTTCAGGATGCTGTCTCGGAGGTTCGAGTCGAGTTCGTCGAGACGTAGACCTTTGTCGCTCAGAAGGAATTCTGGGTTCGACCACGAGCGCCACTCAGGCGAGTCAACGTGGTATAAAAGAGTAGACTTTTGCTTGTCATCAAGCTGTGATAATACGACGTTGGTGGCGTCGACGATCTCCTGGATTGGTACGCCTTCATCTGCCAGCTCGAATAAGTCGTGTCTCACGGTACCTAAACCCGTTAGCCGTTTCCCCAACTACTCAGTCTACAACCCCCGCGACTTACCATCTGTCGTGATGCCGGTGAACGGCTCCTTGAAGAGCTCACGCCAGTGGCGATACAGGGCGTGTAGCCACGGTGGGTTCCCACCCTTTTTGAAAGCTTCCGCATATTCGTGCGCATTCTGACTTCTCATTATCGTGAAACGCGGGATGCTAGTGTCTGGCAGATGTTGGCGGTATTCGCCGCCATGGGGATGTTGATCCTGGACTCCGGACATTACGGCGGTCGTGAGACGGATAGCCCGATATTCTCGTCTTATGGAACACTCTGAGCGCGATATCCGTGGCAGCAGTCAAGAGTCTTGCCGTGCAGCAGTGTTTCGAGTCTGGGAGCCGTTCCACATGCAATGACCCTGACCAACGTCTTGGATGTATTGCAGTCCAGCTTTTAAGTTAAGGTTCATTGGGGATATTCGCAATCAAACCACAGCTTCGCGTTAGATGCCCTTTCAGATCAGACCGTATCCGACGGAACCGCGATCAAATACCGCAGTTACGAATACATGCAGGGATCGGCTCCTCACTTCTCGGCCCCTCAATTCATCGTCACCTTCATCTTCCCCTCATCCTCGCATTTCCCCCACAGCCAATGGCAGCGCTCAGACATTGCAACTAAGCATGAACTCTCCACCTACTCGGACCTCCGAAAGGTCGGCGCCAGAGCGGGGTACCCCTATCATCGCTCCAGTCGGATTCAATGATGGGAAAGCGACCTCTCCTTGTTTCTGCTTGCAAATATCATCCCAGCTTCCATTTCAATACGGACTTGTTTAAGTTGGAATCCCAGAGCCTTTTTCTGCACACCAGACTTTTGGCCCAGCTTGTGACAAGATGTCTTCGGAATTACAATCGCCCTTCAGCCGTGAGTCTTCCTCCCGAGTCCCTGTCTGTCGCGACACTTGACGCTGAAACAATAAAGGCCTTGTGCGATTTGTTCCGCGGTCTGACCCGAACAAGATCCTTATTGGAGAACCCGAATCAGACTCCGTCGACGTTGGTGTTGCGGTGCGCAACGGCGAGGAAGTTAAGGTTGTGGTGTGGTCGGGATCTAGCGTTCTCAAGCCGGGTTCGAAAACAGATGAGCGGGCCATCATTGACCGCATTCTGTCGCCCGTTTCTGTCGATGAGATTGGTACCATCCGATGCATTGGTCTAAACGTAAGTAGCCAGCGATCAGATGGCACTTCCAATGTGCACATTGAACTCAGCTAATGAGTTGTAGTATGTCCAGCACGCGAAAGAGGTTGGCGTAGCTTTGCCTGATGTGCCTACTGTGTTCCTGTAAGCATGGTTTCTGTTCCCGTGGTTTTGACCCGTGAGATTACTGACCATTGCAACTTCCAGGAAGCCAAACACAGCCCTTGGGGACCCATGGCCAGCACCTACAGTCCTTCCTCTACTGACCCAAGCGGATGACTGCGGCGATTACGAGTCTGAGCTTGCAGTTGTTCTGGGAAAGACAGCTAAGAATGTGTCTGAGGCTGATGCTATGGACTATGTCCTGGGTTACACTGCTTGCAACGATGTGTCTAGCAGAACATACCAACTGAATCAATCCCAGTGGTGCTTCGCCAAGGGCTTCGATGGCTCGTGCCCCTTGGGTGAGTCTTGAACATGGCTGTTATGAAAATACGTCAGGTCTAACTCGGTATCATGCAGGCCCGGCTCTAGTTTCTAGGGACCTCATTCCGGACCCAGCCAAGCTACATATGCGAGGACTGAAGAACGGTGATGTTCTCCAGGAAAGCGGCATCGAGTAGGTTGTCTCTGTAGGACGGGATCCTATATTAGTATACTGACATTTTCCACTCAGTGATCTCATCTTCAGCGTCCCCAAAGTAATCAGCTTCTTGTCCCAAAGCACGACCCTGCCTGCTGGCACTGTCATTATCACCGGCACGCCGGCTGGCGTAGGCTTAGGGCGCAAGCCCAAGGTAACGTTGAAGGATGGCGACGAATTCAGGGTCGAGATCCTGCCGCACATCGGAACACTTATCAACGTCTTCCAAAACGAAAGTGCTACCACTGTTGGGCACTAAGGAATGAATCAAGATCACTAGACAGTCGGATTTAATACACAAAACGGCGCTAAAACCGCAAAAAACAAAAAAAAAAAAAGACCCCGATGCTTTTGACGATGACGCACATTCCGGCCTCGATGGTACGGGCAACGCGTTACTGGGTGTAAATCAGCAAGTTCGGGCTGGTGATAAAACGAGGTCAACGTGAAGACAGCTGTGGTGGTTAGACTTAGAACTCATGGTCAGTGATAGCAGTACCCTCTCAGCAAATCTAAAATTGGGTTTTTTGAGGGTTCAGAGTCACCTAATGATGCACACCCCGTCCAATAGCCGAAGATTGCTTAAGGATTTGTTGAGTTTCTATTACTGCATAACATCATCATGTCCATCAAGCAAGAATGATTTTTAAACACGTATGTTTGGTGTGCTTCGACAGACTGCGACGCGTTTCTGTACAAACACGAATCTAGCTATCGATTATCTGCGGAACCTTTTCGAGAAGATGCTCAACAATGGCGTCCGGCCCTTTTTCAACCTGCAGGCCATGCGGGATCACATGGGTTTTGATGCCCGGCCTCAGTGACCTCGCCGTTTTGAGGATCTGGTCGGCCTCTTCCGCGGTCCACATTGATGCACAGAACTGGAAGGGGTTTGTCAGAAAAGAAATTTCATAGTAAACGGGCTAACAGAGATGGCTTACTATGATGTCTGGCTGATGTTCCTTCACCTTGCCCTCGACTTCGTCTATCTCTTGGGGGGGCGTCAGCGCCTTGACTCAATCTTTGAAGCGAACGAGACCGCGGTACTCACTATCGCAGTTTGCGACGTGCTCGATCGTGTAGCGATCCTTGAGTTCTTCGACGACGCGTCCAACAAGGCGCTTCGCTCGCTCGGGTGCAGTGTTCACCGTCACCAGCTTGTACGGACCCTTGGGTGCCATCGCGCGGGGTTGTGTTCCAGGTGACGAGTAATGATGCCGTGGGTATGCGAATGGAGTGACTAGTAGCTTGCCGAAGGGTCCGGCCTGCGTTGGATGAGAGTGTGCCAAATGGGATGTTATTCGATGATGCTTGGGGAGAGGAGGCTGTGTATCAGTGAACCTTTCGATGATCTGCCGGTCATCGTTGCCGGTCATCGTTGCCGGTCATCGTTGCCGACGCCCACTGATTGCAACCGTATACCCTGGCCATATGCTGTCGGACAGGTGGTGCCGCATATCGCGCACAGATCGCACCCAATACCCGCTCGTGGTCATGGCTAGATTGACCCATCTTGGAAAAGGCGTAATATGCTCTCGGATATCTCGGCCCGTTCATTCACCTGCCAACACGCTCGTCAGTGGCGTTCATTCGATTTGCAGTACCCAGTGGGATCCTCCCCCGCTTCTTCCGGTCCGATGTGGGGGATCTTCGGAGGGGGCATTAAGGAGTCGCCGGGAACTTCATCCAAATCATCGGTTGAACTGCTGAACTCAGTTGCAACTACTCCCAAGGATTCTTTCGCAACGGACTTTTACCTTCGTGATTTGTTTTTTCCTTCCAGGTCCTAGATTCTCCATTTGGTTACGCCGCATTCTCCTTTCCACATCCAATCCATCAGCAGATAGACTCCCGTGACTCGAGACTCCAACGTGGTGAGAGAGGAAACATGACGGCAAGTGCATCGAAACCCCTTCCCACCCTCGGAAATACTGACGGATTGGGTAAAGGTGACAGAACACATAAAATCGGCCGTCCAGCTGGACATCATTGTTATCGGCGCTGGCTTGAGTGGCTTGGCCACCGCAGTGGCAGCTGCACTATCGGGGCACCGCGTGACGGTGTTCGAGTCCGCCAGAGAACTTCTTGAGGTATTTCCTCATCACATCCCAGGCAATAAGAAGGAAAAGCGATATTGATACCATGCAATAGGTCGGAGCGGGACTGCAAGTGACGCCGAACTCGACACGGATCCTCCAGAAATGGGGCCTACCCGACTGGAAATCTGCATCAGAGCCGACAGCCTTGGTTGTCCATAGGTTCTCCGGAAAGGTCCTCGCCAGTGAGGAAAACTTTAAGGAGAAGATCCGCGCGAAGTACCAAGCACCCTTCATCGACCTGCACCGCGTTGACCTGCAGCTTTCACTCTACGAACGCGCCAAGGAGCTCGGGGTTCAGTTCCAGCTGGGCCAAAAAGTCGACAATATCAACTTCGACATACCGGAGCTCACAACACAGTCCGGGGTTAAGGCTAGAGCAGACCTCATCGTTGCCGCAGACGGACTGTGGTCACGTTCGCGTGCATGCTTTCTGGGAAAGGAGGACCCCCCGCTGGCGACGGGAGACCTGGCGTACCGGGTAGTCCTCCAGATCGATGATGTCACAGACCCTGAACTGAGAGAATGGATATCGAATCCCCAAGTACACTTCTGGATTGGACCTGGAGCGCATGGTGTTGGCTACTCGATGAGAGCCGAGAAGATGTACAATCTCGTGCTGTTAGCGCCTGACGACTTGCCTGATGGCGTGAGCCGCCAAGCGGGAGATGTTGAGGAAACGAGAGTTCGATTCAAAGAATGGGATCCCATCGTGAGAAAGATAATCGGTGCCGTCGACAGCATTGAGAAGTGGAAACTTATGCACAGTACGACCTATGTCTTTCCGAGCTGCGAATAGCCTGGCTAACACTTGGTTCTAGGAGAGGAGATGAGTTCTTGGGTAAACGACAAGTCCAATCTAGTCTTTGTGTAAGTTCGGTCCAACATGGATCCATGGTTTCAGCACTCACTTATTGCAATCCAGTGGGGATGCATGCCACCCAATGCTACCATATCTCGCCCAAGGTGCCAACTCAGCTGTGGAAGACGGCGCTGTACTGGGCTTGTTGCTCGGCCACCTCACATCCAAGTCACAGCTTCCGAAAGCTCTGAAGATGTATGAGAAATTACGAAAAGCCAGAGGCGAATCTATTGTAAGAGAAACGTTCAAACAGGTAATATTTTCTGCACCGTTCCCAAGCTCGTTGTCCCGACTGCCATCAACTGATTTCTCAAATTTCTCACCTCAGCGCCACGACTTCCATCTATTTGATGGCCCCGAACAGGAAGCCAGAGACCAGGTCTTTCTGTCTCAGCTAGGAAAAGAGCCCAAGGGAGCGTTCCCCAGTAGATGGACTTGCCCCGAAGTTCAGCCATGGCTCTATGGCTATGACGCATACATGGAGGTGGAAAAGGCTATTAAGACTGACCCATTCAGCAAGCCAAGCCTGTAATGCTGGTATAACGACACCAGATAGTTATCAAAGTTTATATATCGTTAATTCAAATATTCTGGATGCATCCTCGTTGGTTAGCATATTACACCATAGCTCTTATTTTATCAGTGACAGCTCAGGCCATTCCGAGATTACACCTTCTTATAAAGTTCAGCAATTTGAATATTGCATCTATATAGAATGAGTCATCTTGGCTGTTTTTACGTCAATTATGTCAGTCTCTTGTTTTGTATACGAAGATTGCAAATAAGAGCTCCCCGATGGACCTCGATCTTGATATTAGATCTTATTTTGGGTTATGTCCTAAAGAGTGCAAGATGATTCATGTATTGATATAATTCTCAGTCAGGTAGACTGTTCTCCCGCCGGTGAACAGAGTCTGCATTTAGGAATTGATCGATAGCGAGTCCAGTATTGCTTCAACATGCTCATGTGACCCTCATCTATGGTAACAGCCCTAACCCAATCTTAACCAAATCTACATGCTACTTTCGGTTGTTGAAAAGAAAGCAGCCTAGATTGTGACTTTGTTATTAGAACCTCTGACTTAATTCCAGCCAGCAATCAAATACATTTTCAATCGCAACCGTGCTGAGTCCCACAGCTTGGACTATAGACTCTGGCCTGTAATTCGGACACAGTTTACAACCCCCTTTGCTCTTTAGCCACAGAAACAAAAAAGGAAAGGAGAATGACCCGATATCAGGGTTCAAATATCATCTCCTCTTTTACAGTCTGAACACTCACCATCTGTAGCCTCATGAAATGCGTTCTGTAAGGCCTGGATATTTTGTAGGGTAAACAAGACGTCTTAGTTGTATGTACAACGGGTGCATTTCTTGCGGCCTTAATTCACAAGACGGCGGCTACCACTTCCGATCGCCAATTGCCATTCGCTTATCTAGGCAAGGCAGACACGCGCTGCAGCATATCATCGACCAATCACTAGGGTATAATAGAGCAAAAAACTACATTACAGCTATAATCAGCTTCATTAGCTGAAAGCTGCACAACGTTTATCATTAACCGGAGTCTCTGGCCTTTGATTCAGTCATAGTTTAATACAATTAACACCTTCCTAGAGCCTCTTCCTTCAGCTCTTTGGCTGCAGAACTGCAGTACTAGGCCAAAAGTCTGGCCACAGCAATAAGAATGGCCAATCAGTAGCTACATTAGGTGGTGGAGATACAGGGCCTTTGGTGGTGCACTGTGAAGTGACTTTGAGTTATTAATAGGTCTCTTCTTCGACTCTTTGTTACATGTAGGTAGGTTATCCTCATCGCCGTAGCCAGACTTTTGACCTAGTACTGGAGTCACAAAAAAGGGGGGGTAGGGGGGAGAGAGAAGCAGCAGATGAAGAGCCCGAGTTTCCACATTTTATTTCCAATTGCAAGGCCTGAATACTTCGCAACGTACGGATACCTATCTGGCTGTATCCTCGAAGAAACCGGGCGCATGAATCGCCCTTCCTGTGTCAGCACTAACCTAACTAGTCATATGTCATCATCGTTCATAGTTAACTCGGCTATGCTATGTTCCAGAGCTAGTCCGCATTAGGCAAATAGAAGTCGACGTGATCAGCCAATCTGTTCGTTCAATGGCCAGAAGAAGAAAGGAACTCTTGTCTTGGTTCGTAGGAATTCTGCCAAGTTGTGCTGCGGGCGTGGACCCCCTTGCCCAAACACCGTTTTCCTCAATGAAATCATCTCCCTCTCCCCCACACCTGTCTAAAGCACTGTAACATCTGAATATTTTCGCCGCAACTTGCTACATCCCAAAAGAGATAATGGCATACAGGCAGTGCGAGTGATCTTAGTGGGCGTTTGGCAAACGCCATCATATGTATATCGCTTATCACTGCCTCTGTCAGCACCGAGATGGAGTCTGCATTCGGGACGACGATTGGCACTGAGAGGCATTTGGTATGTTTATCTAAACAACACTGCCAGCTTGGCCTTCGTGTACAAATACTCGCAGTCGTTCGGTTTCGCCTTTCCTTTGGGATTTTTTATATTCATCCGTTCATTTCCTATCATCGGCAGCTCTCACGTTTGAGGAGGCCAAAGCCTTTCCCTCCTCCTTGGTGCCTAGTCAAGATCGCATACACAGACACTCGATAATACGGTCACGTAGCTCCCCAAGATCTTCAGTTTCGTCTGGAAGATAAATTACACTTTCAGCAACGCCATGGCGGCACCGAGGTCAGCAATATGGCGCCAAGTCAGCACTCTCGCAACGAAGAATTTCATCATCTTAATCGCCCGCCATCCTGCTTCAACTATCTACACCGCTGTCCTCCTTCCAATTATTCTCACTGTATATCTCGGAATCGGGAAGAACCTCAACAGTCCTCAGAACGATTATGGAATTGCAGAGCCACGACCAATTCGATCGCTTCAAGATGGTCTTAGCGCCGCTGGTGCATCTCGCAACGAGGTTGTATTCGTCAACAACGGACTCTCTGATGGTGCTATCGATCGGGTCATAGGCTCTCTCTCGGAAGAGGTGACGAGAGCAGGGAAGAATTCGACGACAATCGAGAAACCGTTCGACATCAGTCGCATCTGCCGCTCTTCTCTTCGAGCGACCACGTCTTGCTACGGCGCCGTCATCTTTCATTCTTCACCCAACGAGGGTGACGGTGGCATTTGGAACTACACTCTGCGCGGGGACGGTGCGTTAGGATCATCGTTTAAGGTGAAGGACGACAACAATGACGTCCAGATATACACTCTCCCCCTTCAAAGAGCTGTCGACTCTGCTATCGTGCGTACGAACTCTACCGAAGCCGACCCGTCGCCTCTTAGTGATGTCAGAGAATGGGGCTTTACTGGTGAGTCCGAGGAGGAACGTCAAGCTAGCGCACGGAGAAAATATCAGCAGACAATCATCGATTACCTCGGCGTCTCATTTGTTCTCGCGCTCATTGGCGTTAGCTACCACCTCCCCGGGCACATTGCAACTGAGCGCGAGAAGGGCTTGTCCCAACTAATCGACTCCATGATGTCAACGCGTTACGAATGGGAAGCACAAGTTGTCCGCATTCTATCGAGCTTCTACCCATTCGCATCCATCTATTTCCCGGGCTGGGTCATTGCTTCTGTCATCTCATGGGGCATGATCTGGAAGGAGTCAAGCGTTGGCATCGTGTTGGTCTTCTTCGTCTTGGGTGGTCTCGCCCTTACATCCCAAGCCATTCTCGGGGCTTCTTTCTTCAAAAAGGCTCAGCTTTCCGGCGTCATCAACTCTCTGGTTTACGTGCTCCTAGGTGTCCTTGCGCAAGCTCTTCCCAACGAAAGTACCGGTGCAGTTACGGTCCTGAGCCTGTTGTTCACTCCTTGCGCTTTTGTCTTTTTTATCAAGTCGATTTCCCGATACGAGGCGGACGGTAAACCAATGAATCTACTACGGGCTCCGCCCAACAGCGCCTCCACTCTGCCCGGAATCGCTATTTGGATCTTTCTGATCATCCAGATCGTCGTTTATCCGCTCCTTGCAGCCTTTTTTGAACGTCAGATACACGGGGTCGGTTCCGAGAGTCGCAAAATCTACAAAGGCAAGGGTGTCCAACCCCAGCATGCTGTTACCATCAATGGGTTGACCAAGGTCTACTTGCCGAGCATTTTCCGACGTGTCCTTTCTCCCTTTATCAAGGCAAGGCCTTCGACCGTTGCCGTCAACAACTTGGACCTAACGATGAAGCGAGGAGAAATCCTAGCCCTTCTCGGAGCTAACGGGAGCGGCAAAAGCACTGCGCTAGACGCTATTGCTGGAATCAGTCGATTTAACCAGGGCAGCGTCCATATTGATGCATCTGGCGGCATCGGCATTGCGCCCCAGAAAAATGTGCTCTGGGATGAGCTCACTGTGGCGGAACATATCAGCATATTTACCCAACTCAAATCTCCATCCAGCGTGGCGGGCAAGGAGGACCAAAATCAGCTGATCGATGCCATTGGCCTAGCAACGAAGCGCAAATCTCAATCCAAAACACTCTCTGGGGGGCAGAAGCGTAAACTGCAGCTCGGCATGATGCTGACGGGCGGGAGCGCTGTCTGTTGTGTCGATGAAGTTTCCTCTGGAATCGACGCTCTGTCTAGGAGAAAGATCTGGGATATCCTCCTCTCAGAGAGAGGCAAGAGGACCATCATCTTGACAACCCACTTTCTTGATGAGGCAGATCTACTGGCCGATAACATTGCGATTCTCTCCAAAGGCAGTTTGAGAGCCGAAGGCTCCTCGGTGGCGCTCAAGAATGCCCTCGGTGACGGCTACCGGATCCACGTGCTTAACGTGAGGGATGTCAGAGCCCCCCCAGAAGTCAGCGGTGTCGCTTTAACGGCATCTTCGAACACCATCGTCTACACTGCACCATCATCCAGCCTAGCGGCTGATGTTATCCGAGCACTCGAAGCCCACAAAATCCCCTACAGGATCTCGAGCCCCAATATAGAAGATGTCTTCCTCAAAGTCGCCGAGGAGGTACAAGGAGAAGATCCCCAATCCCTTCAGCCTGGAGCTCCTCGTGTATCAACCGCTTCAGGACAAGAACTCTCAGAAAAGTCCATGATTAACCAAGGGGAAAGAGACACTCTGGGACTGCAATCTGGCCACCAAACGGGCTTCTTCAAACAAACTCGTGTCCTTGTTCACAAGCGCCTGGTCTTGTTCAAGACGAATTGGATTCCATACGTCATTGTATTCATTACTCCGATCATTGCAGCTGCTATCATGCAGTTGTTGATCGCTAAGGAAGGCCCTACGAGCTGTGACCCCGCCGATTTTACCGGATCAGGAAACCTGGATAGCTATAGAGAAGCTTTCACAGAGGCCCATGTAGCTGCCGGGCCCTCTTCGGCTTTCTCGACAACATCAATTGGCGATATCTTTACTTTCTTGGATCCTACATCAAATGGCCCTATCGGCACGAGCAACATCTCTTTGAGTGACAGTTACCAAGATCTGGCCCGGTTTATCGAGGACAACAGACGGAACATCACCCCTGGTGGTATCTGGGTGGGCAGCCGAGAAACGCCTCCGACAATCGCCTATAGAGCAGACGACAACATGATCTCCGCTGCTGTCATCGTCCAGAACTTGCTCAGCGCAGTGAGAAGTAACACCAGCATCGCTGCCACCTACGCTCCCTTCGACAGCGTCATCCCAAGCTCAACACTCACGACGGCTCAGTTGGCAATCTACTTCAGCATTGTTCTTTCCATTATCCCTGCCTTCTTCGGATTATATCCTAATGTAGAGAGGCGAAATCACGTCCGTGGTCTGCAATATTCCAGTGGTGTTCGGTCGCTGCCTCTGTGGACATCCCACCTCATTTTCGATTTTGGGGTCATCTTCTTTCCACTTCTAGCCGCAGCCATCATCTTTGCTGTGTCTTCGGATATCTGGTACGCCTCGGGTTATCTCTTCCCCGTCTTCCTGTTTTACGGCATTACATCCATTCTCTTGTCATACGTCATTTCACTCTTCACCAATAGCCAGGTCGCAACCTTTGCTGCAATTATGGCCTACAACAGTGTTGGTTTCGCCATCTACCTGATTGCGTTCCTCTACATCATCACCTTCTCACCTGCCGTCGTTACGGAGCGGAATATTTTCATCGGCCATTACACCATCTCCGCCTTTTTCCCTGTAACCTCTATTTGTAGAGCCATCCTGATTGGCTTGAACACCTTCTCCTTGGCCTGCTCTGGCACAGGGTTTGGCTACCCCGGCTCTCTAAGCGCTTACGGGGGTCCTATCATGTACCTCATCATCCAGGCCATCATCCTCTTCAGTATTCTTCTATACAGCGACAGCGGCAATAAGATACCGGCTTTTCTCAAAAGGAAGAGGAGCCCTGCGGCTGAGTCGGTCCAGACCCACGAGGATCCGGAAGTTGCCAGCCAGCAGCTGCCGACGGAATCTACTAGAAATGATGGACTTCAAGTGAAGCACCTAACGAAGAAGTTTGGCAAATTTACAGCCCTCGATAACGTCTCGTTTGGCGTGTGTCATGGCGAGGTATTCGCCCTCCTTGGCCCTAACGGTGCAGGCAAGTCGACAGCAGTATCTCTCATTCGCGGTGATATTCAACCGAGCGGCAAAGGGGGCGATGTTTTCGTCGAGAAAGTCTCAATTACTGACCAAAGAGCCCTCGCCCGATCGAACCTCGGAGTCTGCCCCCAGTTCGATGCCATCGATTCCATGACAGTCGTCGAACATCTTCGTCACTACGCCAAACTCCGAGGAATATCCGATGTTGAGCAGCAAGTTCAGGCAGTTGTTTGTGCAGTTGGTCTCCAGGCCCATGTCAACGTCATGGCTCAGCATCTATCGGGTGGCAACAAGCGTAAGCTGTCCCTTGGTATCGCACTCACAGGCAACCCGTCCGTGATCCTGCTCGACGAGCCTTCATCCGGTCTTAATGCAGCAGCGAAGCGAATAATGTGGCGAACTCTCAGCAGAATCGTCTCAGGGCGCTCAATTCTTCTCACCACGCACAGCATGGAAGAAGCTGACGCTCTGGCCAATCGAGCCGGCATCATTGCTCAGCGTATGTTGGCGATCGGCGAGGTGGAACAATTGCAAAGTCGTTTCGGTGACTCACTATATGTGCACCTCGTCAGTCGCTCCGCTCCACACTCGAAATCGGAAGAGATGGAACATATACGTCAATGGGTCGTCAACACGTTCCCATCTGCCCGCGTTGAGGCCTCGACGTACCATGGGCAAATGCGATTCTCCGTGTCTGCGTCGGACATCTTGCAAAGAGTTAAAGCGAACGGCCGCAACAGGGGCACTTCTGAATCTGAGCGGAGCCTTGAGCTTAGCGCTATAGGTCAACTCATCATAATGTTGGAGGACAATAAGGAGGTCCTCGGTATCGAGCATCATAGTGTCAGTCCCACAACACTGAACGACGTCTTTCTCGCTATTGTGGGGCAGCACGATGTCCAAGAGGAGGGTTACGGAGCTCAACCGAATGAAAAGAAGAAGATCAACTGGCGAAAGATTCTACTCGGGTTCTAAGATGTTGAACCCTCTGGGGGTTTCATTGTTTGGCCATCATTTGCATACTTAGGCGGTGGATCCTTGAAGTTTGATGAGCGACTGCATTTCTTGTATTACTTGATGGATGTATTTGTGACGCCCATTCCTCCCGTGGAGAACAGAAGTTCCCATCTGCTTATTACTAGCCATTTCATGAGTGAACTTTGCCCAACCAGGCCTAGGATATCTCATCGACCTCAGACGATCAATATCTATCTCGTATAAGTGCAATTTAGTCCTAAGACTTGAGTGTAACGAGTCAACTTTAGTTTCTACGCCAAGCCGAGCAAACACGATGACGAAAGCATTCAAATATTCCATTGCCTCGATGCAATGAGGAGGAAATGCTCCGGACAGCGGATGCTTGGACAGAGCCGCAGGTTTTGCGTCTGATCGAGATCTCGGAGTGGGGATCGATTCGGCCCGGTGCATGACTGCGCTGTGGCAGCAACTGATTTACGTTTTTTTTGGTTTGTTTTCTTGATCATTTTTCTTCTTCCAAACTGCAGTGGATTCATCACAGCTTGTTTTAAGATGGGCAGCTGTTCATTTAAGGCCATCAGAATGTGCCAAGAGAGGCGTTCTCAAAATGACAAACGTGAATGTTTCAACTACCGTCAGGCAGTATTTACTAGCTACTAAAGTAATTCAGGAGCCTTCGACTTCCGACTTATTGCTGCAAACGAGACTAGATGCCAGTTCTGGTGAGCTCTGAATAGCGTTGAGGAGACTTCGTGCTCCACCTTTTCAGAGTTGACATCGCCCTGACGTCAAGATTTTGCATATAAATGTGTGGCGATGGTCACCAAAAGAAATCGTCCTTCACACTGAACTGAAAGAGGGAAAAGAGCTCCACAGAACCCATGCAAAGACATGGCTCTTTAGGCAGTCCACTTTGGCTGCTCAGAAAACTTCTTTTGCAAGTCCAAGGTGGCAAGTGATGGTGACGCCCAACTCAGCCAAAGCGGTCGATCTTGGAAACTTCAGCTGAGAGTAGATGCCGTCGGTCGACCCGCCGTATAACCTCGTAAACTAGCATACCGAGACGAAACCCACCGCCACCACGCCGAACCACCGATTGAGGCTACGAAATTGGGGATTGATTGTCCAGCCGGAAGAAAATGTCCGTTTCTCGTCTCCACAGGTCGCAGCTCTGAGGTCACAGTTTCATGGGTCCTTGTGGTCTCTATGTCAGTCGCCGTTCCCACATGAAGACGAGATCCGGAGGTTTTGCGGCGAGAAAAGAAAGGACTTTTGCAGCTTATAACTATAAAATATTGCTTCCCGCAGCAAAGAAACAATGAATTTTCACCAAATCCAAGACGAATAAGCCAAGCCAGTACACTTGCAACCGAGGGCAGCAAAGATGAACACCATCAACGAGACGAGCCATGCGCCCGATGGAGGTCGCGCTGAGCGAGACACTGAGCCACGAGCTCCAGATGGAAAAGATCGACAGCACTCACGAAATGAATGCCATGACAGTCAACCAGACAGTAGGCAACATGGGCGTCAAGAAAACCACCGAGACGACGAACCGAGAAGTGTGCTAGACAGCCTGGACACACAACGAGCGGATCTGGTTGGCGAATGGATGAAGTCCCGTGTACCGGAACACGAACCCCTTCCCTCTCAGTCAGTCAGCTGGTGGGATCCAACATTGGCATCGGTATGTCATTGGGTCTTCCACGCCTTATGTCTAGAAGAAAGGATTGACTGACAAGTGTTCAACATAGCTACGAAAGCACATCTCCATGATGTGGTGCAGGAACAGTGGGTCAAACCGATACCCAAACCTCGATTGACAAACAAGAGCTAACACGCTGCTAGCACTCATCATTTGCCTTACAATGTTCCTTATTCTCTGTCTGTACTGGGGAATTGTATTCCGCATCAACGAGAACCTGCCATCGCTTGTCTGCTTCGTCGTGGACTTTGACGGCCAAGTTGCGCCCTACGACAACATAGAGCCTCTCATTGGCCCAATTGTCACCAACTTGGCCACCGAAACGCTACGGAGTCCGATCCCGTCCATTGGATATCAAATCCGAACGGCGACCGAGTTCGGTTTCGATCCCCTCAAAGTCCGGGAAGCTGTGTATCACTTCGAAGCTTGGTCGGCAGTCATCATCAACCCGAATGCAACGGCCCTCTTGCAAGAAGCAGTAGCAATTGGGAACTCCTCGTATGACCCTACTGGCGCTGTTCAAATCATCACGATGTCCGGAAGAGATTCGTTCATGACCTTCAGCTATATTCTCCCCAGTATCACTACGTTCACATCCGATCTAATGGACCGGTTCGGGACAACTTGGGCAGAAATGCTTATGGCGAACGATACAATTACGAAGGATACTCTACGCCAGGCCGCAAGTGCTGTTAACCCTGGGGTATCACCTCTCATGCTGGACCTTCGGCCGTTCGGCCCCCCCTCAGCGATTCCGGCCGTCACCTTCGGACTAAGCTTTCTGATCGCCCATCTCGGGTTCACCTATTACCTTGCTGATGACAATGTGAGTTCCCATCTTCCTGTCTATGCGTCCCCCATCATCGGATATTTAAACTGACATTCCCTTTAGAAATGCATTGTGCCTGAAGGTCACCCCCCTGTACACTATTGGCATTATGTCATCCGTCGCTGGCTGTCACTCATGGCGGCATATTTCTTCCTATCACTGACATATTGTCTGATATCGCTGGTGTTCCAAGTGCCCTTCTCCAATCCGCCGGCATCGGCGGTAGAGGTAGCCAAGAATCCCAATGCCTACGGGAAAGCTTCATTCTTCGTCTTCTGGCTATTGAACTTTTTAGGCATGGCAGCTTTGGGGGTGGCTTGCGAAAACATGGCCATGATCATTGGTCCCCGCTGGGTCGGTCTCTGGCTGACCTTCTGGACTCTCACAAACACCCTGTCCGGATTTTGGCCTCCTGATATCGCCCCAGGCTTTTACAAATGGGCGTACGCTTGGCCATATCACCACGTGATTGAAGGCAGTCGCCAGATTCTATTTGACCTCCACTCACGCATCGGTCTGAATTTCGGCGTTCTAATTGCCTGGGTATGCGTCAACACTGTATTGTTTGTACCGGCGTGTTATATTTTGCGATGGAAGGACGAGAAAGAAATCCGCAAGAAGGAGACAAAGCTTCCTCACTTCCACCTTCATAGATACGACGTTGAGAAAGCGATACCCAAGCAGCCTGGCGTCGAGCCTCCCCGGAGAAAGAGAGGGTTCCTGCGGGCATTGTAACCTCTTCCAGCTTTAAAATTCACATTGGCGTTGGTTTTGAGGCTATGCTAGAGAAGCAAATGGTTTATTTGGGATCCCTTAGAGGGCTGCTGTTGTTTTTGGGTTCAGTTAGCGCAAATAGTCTTGATTAGATTACGACATACCCAATTAGTGATTATTACCAATACTCATGCAATTAACGCACATTCCAGTTTTTGATCATAGTTGCTTGGCCATAAACGATAGACTGGGTCCAGTTCGGTAGCAGAACAGCCACTTGAGTGCTGCATACGCAATAATTGACTCTGCTACCACATGTTTCAGTTGAAGTTTCTTGCCGGAGAAGCACTTACCGTGCACAAAACCTGCACTGGCCAGTAGGTTTCATCATCACGGCTTTTCCATATCTTTCGAAAGGAAAAGCGCCAGCCTTCATATGAAGCAGCAGACGCTAATCAGCCAACCGCCATAGGTATGCTCCCGAGGTGCTTGAAGGAACACTAGTGAACTCAGCAACCAAGCGAATGCGCCAGACAGAAGGTAACATCCAGTAGCATGGGCTCTCCTCCCGACTCGAGACTTTGAGAAAGACAGAACTTTAAAGAGCGGATGTTCCTGCAACGTCTAGAGTCGCGTAATCACTACCGGGCACACGTAGCAAGATACCCCCTAAAGATCGTGCTCACACTAACGATCCCTACAATTGCTACCTCCCATCTTCCTGGCTGAACGGCCTCCTCGCATTCACTCAATCGTAACTTGTAACCAAGCCTGAGCCCTTCCTCCCATACCCCGCGTTCTGTCCCGGTCGCAACATCCTAGCAAACGAGTTATGGATCACCGCACGATGGACAGCATAAGCTGGGGCCGGACCGGGCAGGGCACAATGCGAATAAACTCTGACGAGGCAACTCTGTTGTTTTCCGACTGTCCACCCCAATCATCAAGTGCAGATCTATTGCCTAGGACAATAATAAAGCCCACACTTTAACCCTCTCACATACACAGATAGGTTCCATTCCACAGTGTCGCATCGTCACACCAAGTTGGCATGATTCATCGCCTTCCATCATCTTTGTTGATACCCATCTATGTGTCCGTCGTCCTTGCCATCGGGAGCGAGTTTTGTTTAATAAAGGTCCCGGGCATCGGCTCGATGGTCTGTCAGGATGGTGCTCTCCACCATTCATGAAGTTGCGATCGAACTTGAAAAGAATCGTGAGCCACTGGACTCAAACCGCCCTGATTGCTTCAATCACCATAAACTGACTTTAACATTTGCAGCGCCCTCCATCGAGCCTACCATTGGCAATGAGAAACCCGAACCGGCCGTTTACGAGGAGTCGACAACGCCGTTCGAATGGACAGACGACGAGGAACGGGCCGTCAGGCGGAAGCTTGACTGGCACACAGTTCCATTGGTGACATTTTTGTATCTTCTTTGTGTACATTGAGCCCCCGCTTCTTGTGGTACGCGGATTCCTGACCGTCGGCGCAGTTTCTCGACCGAGTCAACATTGGGAATGCGAGAATTCAGGGCATGAGAAACGACATCGACATAGAAGGCTATCGGTTCAACTGGGCTCTGTCTGTATTCTACGTTGTCTACCTGTTGGTCGAAGTGCCAAGCAACATCATACTTCAACGTGTCGGACCCCGGTTCTACCTACCATTCCTCGTCGTAGGGTTCGGTCTGGTCTCTCTTTGCACGGCTTTCGTCGCCTCGTTCGAAGGGCTTATCGGCATACGCGTCTTTTTAGGGATCTTTGAAGGCGGCGCAATGCCAGGGTTCTCATTTTTCCTGAGCAGTTTCTACAAAAGAGAGGAGCTGCTTCTCCGGATGGGCATCTTCATCTCCTCTGCATCTCTTTCTGGCGCCTTTGGTGGGCTTCTCGCGGCTGGCCTCTCCCGCATTTCGCCATGGGGTTTGTCCAGCATGCCCATCCATACGTGGCGCAATATCTTTTTCTTTGAAGGGCTCTTCACTGTCATCGCCGGGAGTCTCGCGCCCCTTTGGATGCCTACAGGTCCGGCCACCGCGTATTTTCTCGATGACCGGGAACGCTCCATTGCTGTTGAACGCCTGCAGCGCCAGCAAAAAGCCAATACTGAAGCCAAGGTTAACATGCAGGACATCAAGAGTGCTGTCTTGTGTATTCACAACTACACGTGCGCTTTTGGCTTCTTCCTGATTAACATCACTGCCCAGGGGATTTCCGTCTTCATGCCAACGATTCTTGCCGACTTGGGCTGGACGGCAACAAAAGCCCAACTATATTCTGTACCGCCTTATGTCGTAGCCACTATAACCGCGGTCTTCGTCGCCTGGTACAGTGACAAGACACGCCAGCGTGGCATCTTCATGGTGGCGTGCTCGATACTTGCTGTGATTGGATTCGCTATTCTGAGATTCGAAACGCAAGCGCATATCAGGTATATGGCGTTGTACTTTGTAGCAGCTGGCATCTTCCCCTGTGGCCCTGGATTCTTGTGCTGGGCAATGAACAGTAAGTGAATGGCGTCCATCCTGCGCTGTGGTAAGGGTTCGTACGCTAAGAAAACCACAGACTCAGCAGGGCCTTCCGTTCGTGCTGTCACTAGCGCATACGTCGTATCCATTGGTACCCTAGGGGGTATTGTCTCCACGTTAGTTTAATCCATCAAAGACCCTACCGCTATTCGGGGATGAGCAAAGTATTTACTGACGAGGGCAACAGATGGACATACACTTACAAGGACTCTCCAAAGTACTTCACCGGACACACGATCAACCTCGGCGGACAGAGCTTGACCGCTATGCTCGCAGTGTTTGGAATATTTTACTGCATGTATGAAAACAAAACTAGAGCGGCTGGAAAGAGAGACCACCGACTAGAAGGCTTGACGAGTGAGGAGCAAGATCAATTGGGTCAGCGCCATCCTTCATTCCGTTACATGACTTGATCTAGCTTCTATTGTCACTTTAACACTATTCAATATATCTTCGTCATCATAGCCAACCAAGAACCACACGGAGAGATTCAAGACAGTGACACAGCGTGAGGTATTACACGCCCTGATGTACTGTGTTCAACTTACCATTACTGTCTAGTCAAGCCAGAAAGCTGTCTGCGATCCATGCTGGTGGCGTAATCGCCAATCAGCCTAGGTAAATTCCTTGATAGCTGGACATTTACTCCATCTTTACCAGAGTAGCTATGTACTTATCCATGCTATAACCGGAATGAAACAAACAACACAGCAATAGGTTACAACCGAGTTGCCTGGGAGAGTATTCGAAGCTCTACATGCTGCGACCGCTTTACCATCGGAGAAAGACGACTTATTGTCACGCATATAAGGCTAACTCCGGACGGCCGGACGGACCACGCCCACATTAAGATCTATGCTATTTACATGCCCTTCTCCTGCCCTAGAAGTAGGCTTTAGTTGATGAAATCATAGCGTCATATGAACAATCACGGGGCAACAGGTGTAGTTTGGTCAATAGACGAATTATGAACTAAGCTCTATACTAAACTAGTATGGTAACCCAGATAGTCCAAGCACCGAATGATCCGGATACAAGTCCGTTGCCTAACGAATAAAGGCCAGTCTCCTCTAAGAAACAGTTTTCATGGACTATGATGTCATCTTCACGGCCGGTAGGGCTCCTGTATGTGCTCGACCCAAGACAATACGTCATGAACCAACGAATGCTCAATATTACGCTGCTAATATACAAATATTGTTAGTGGCTACTTTTGTACATCATGGATTGTTTCCCACGACGCATCATCGATTCCGAAACTGGCACATTTGATGTGAAATCGCACTTTCCATATTATGTACATAAAGCCAAGACAATGCAAACAGGAACCAGGAACCTGATGTTCTCAACGATTACTGCATCGGGTGTGCCCATTGAGCTTGTTTCAAGCCACCGTAACCACCGAGAAGTCAATCAGGGGACGTTTCTTTCCACATCAAAGTCGATTTTTAATTTTGCAACAATGGCCAGTTTTCTACAGAAAGAGGCTCCAACCTCACCGACGCCAGACAATGTCGATCAAACGAAAGAAGATGAACAACATAATGAAGAAATTGGTCTCGGGCACCGGCATCGACAGCCTCATCATGCTGTTGGCTTTTGGCACCCATTGATGAGAAAAGTACGCGCTCATGTCATCCGGCTATGGCTGCGCACCATCGCCGTCCTATTCCTCTTCATCATTGCCGTCCTGTCTCTGTACTGGGCAGTCCTGTACCGAGCCGAAGCCAATCTCAGGTCCCTCATCATCCACGTTGTTGACTTCGATGGCCAGGTTGCCCCCTTTGAGTCTGTTCAGCCTATTGTCGGTCCCACGGTATTGCAGATCGTCCAACAGTCATTAAATAAGCCGGGGCCCTCGCTGGGATGGACGGTTCTACCCCCCTCGAGCTTCGATAACAACCCCATGGCCGTTAGGATGGCAGTATACAACTGGGAGAGTTGGGCAGCTGTCATCATTCACGCCAATGCGACCGCGGCTCTTCAGGATGCTGTCGCGACTGGTGACGCCAATTACGACCCAGCAGGTTCAGTGCAAATCATCATACAAACAGCGCGAGATCAGACAACCTACCAAAGCTACATACAGCAGTACATCAACCAGTTCACAGAAGAATTTGCTCAGCAGTTTGGAAAGCGGTGGGGCCAGACAGTGATGTCAAACTCATCACTGAGTCGAGACAACCTCGCGAAAGCATCTAGTGCGGTGAACCCGGGAATTGCACCGTTAATGATCGACTTGCGACCCTTCCGACCAGTCACAGCCACGCCTGCGGTCAGCATTGGACTGATTTATCTTATCATCACAGCGTTCTTTTCTTTTTCCTTCTTTTTGCCTATTCACTCTGTGAGTACTTTGCATGATGGCATCGAGGCAGGACTCATTTGCTAATTTATGCATAACAATAGAAATATATCCAACCGCAAGGACACCCACCTCTGCGCTTCTGGCAGCTCATTGTTTGGCGGTGGCTGGCAACTATCGTCGCCTACTTCCTCATATCCTTGAGCTACAGCTTGATATCCCTAGCATTCCAGATTCCTTTCAGCGCTCCTCCAGCCTCGCCAACCGAGCCGGCACCACCTGCGGGCGCGACGGCGTACGGACGCGGCACTTTTCCGGTCTACTGGATGCTGAATTTTGTCGGCATGTCGGCGCTGGGCCTTGCCTGCGAAAACGTTGCCATGATCGTAGGACAGCCGTGGACTGCCCTGTGGTTGATCTTTTGGGTCATCACCAATGTCTCAACGGCATTCTATACTATAGATCTGTCTCCAGGGTTCTACCACTGGGGCTACGCTTGGCCTCTCCACCACGTGGTTGAGGGAAGTCGGCAGCTGCTGTTCGACTTGCATTCGAGGATTGGGCTCAACTTTGGCGTTCTGTTTGCTTGGGCGGCAGTGAACACTACGTTGTTTCCCCTTTGCTGCTACTTTATGCGGTGGAAGACAGAAAACGAGAAAAGAAATGCGGAAAGAGACAAAGATCGGTATGTGGTTGAAACAGAGGATGGGGACAAGGAGTTGAAAAAGCCAGAGGGTACCAAGCCCCCCATCAGAAGGCATGGATTCATGCGAGGTGTTTGAGTTCCGGAGGTGAGGCTAGGGAACAAAAGTAGCTTAAACACGTTATAACATGCCTTTCGAGTCATTTACAGTACGCGAGCTAATTATTTGATGATATGCACCCCTGCCGCCTGTGAGTAGTACACCATAGAGCAATGGAAGAGACTGAATGTCACTCGTCTCAATCTTTATGTCTTCAAGAGTCAGAACATTGCCAGATTTCAGTACTCCAGCAGGTTTAAATAATGGCTGGTGATCTCGTTGGTTGGCCGTTTGAATCCATCAGATTGAATTACATTGAACATTTAGCATTTGATAGTGGGTGAATGAAGGTTCTTAGCTCTTCACAGTGACAAGTGCCCTGATGCAAGCAAATTCAGGGTTGCTACAGGGCAAAAACTAAGGGTCAGTCAATCTACAGTGTGGCGCTTGTCAGGGAACCCTGCACCATTCTGTAAGGGCGAAGCCATGCGATGAGATTCCTTCGATACCAGATGGTCCTGTCGATTCTCTAAGCCGCATTTGCCTGGGAGCAGTTTGAATGATGTCAGGTGCACCCATAATCTTTCTATATGATAGAATCAGACACCGAGTATTCTCAATCTCATCACTCAGCATCAGCATGTAGGACTTTGCTACCCGCACTCAGCGGCGCCTTTGCAATAGCTTTACACTAGTAGTTGTGACCGGTCCATCAGATGTTTTCACCATACGCCGAGTAACAAGACATGCCAATTATTCACCAAGTGAGAATGTCATGTTTGATCACAAGCATGAACCAACACTGGGATTGTGTGATGATCGCCTTCATTCATCAACACTTCTTATTATGGAAATGAGGCCAAAGCACCGTTTAAGTGCTCTGCAAGCAGTCAAGAACGTGGCTTTTTTCCCCCTTTTTACGACGCATTCTCAAAGTCTTGACGTCATGACTTATGAACCAGCTCCAAGTACAAAGCACACACACTTCATACCCCTTCCGCCTCTCGCTCTCTCTCATTTCCAAAAAAGGATCATCCTAATTACACAGCATGCTCTTGGTATCTTGGCGAAGACTCCATGGATTTCATTAAGCCGCCCATTGTGTTTATCCACGGGCTGTGGGTGACCCCTCTGTCCTGGGAGTACTGGATCCTGTTCTTTCGGAAAAGAGGGTTTGAAGTGCACGCCCCTGGTTGGCCAGGGGTCGACGGTCGAACGCATGAAGAAATCCATGCAGACCCGGAGCCTATCGCTCTCCATCGCATCGAAGACATCGTGGACCACTACGCGGCATACATTCGGAAGCTACCGGAGCCTCCCATCATCATAGGGCACTCGTTCGGTGGTCTCTTTGCTCAGATCCTTTTGTCGCGCGGAATAGGAGCTCTGGGCATAGCTGTGTGTCCTGCACAACCTGCGGGTATCATTTACGTCGCACCGACTACGATTAGAGCCGCGTTTCCCATCTTCACCCACCCCCTGCATTCCGACGCCACCGTCCCGATGTCCGAAAGCCACTTCCGCTACTGCTTCGGCAACCTCCTGTCGTCCGAGGAGAGCAAGAAGCAATGGAACCGGTACTGCATACCGGCGGATTCCAGGGTACTCTGGCAGTTGGCGACAAACGTCACAGCGGGACGGGCAGCGCCGAACTTTGTCCACTTCGACAAGCCTGACCGGGCACCCATGCTGCTCATCAGCGCCTCGAAAGACCACATCGTCACGGCCAGGACAGTCAAGTTGGAGTACAAAGCTTACAGAGGTCCTGCGATCGTGGAGTACAAGAATTTCGAAGGTTATAGCCACGGACTAATTTTTCAGGAGGGCTGGGAGGCCGTTGCAAATTACGCTCTCGAATTCATTGAAAGTCACAGCTAGCGCCTGGGTTATGGCACGAACACCAAACGCTGCGGACCAGCCTACGCCTTGCTTTTTTGATTTTTTTTGTGATTTCGAGGCCCTCTTGCGATCATGGGTCTCTCTTCCATTTTAAAGAAACGTTGATTTCATCTCCGAACTAGTAAGTATAATTATTAATAGATGTCGGCGGAACACAGAAGGTCTAGATTGGCATATTATAGATTCTCACATCAGCGGGAAAGAGTCCCAGGCTATCTTTTAACTTTAATATAAAACTATCAAGTCACGGATGTCAAATCTGGTCAAGCATCGTTTTAATGACGCTTGCTGATTGGCACATGCATCGACCATCACCAGAATACTCTACAGTACTTTCTGGAATATGTTTCAAAATCACACTAGGCAAGTATGCTATCTGGATGAATCCGTGAATCTTTAACGCGAAAGCCCGCAGTAACACTGACTGCTCCACCTGAAAATATGAGACTGAAATGCTTAGCGACGGTGCTATCATTTCTAAGCAACTCTTAGCATGGTATTTTTCTTCTTCTTGTTTCCCCCCCCCTTTGGTCTCCATCTTTAAGCCCCAACGAGCCGTTGGAGTACTTTGACCCGAACAAAACTTGTCATTGGCTACGGGCATTTCCACCACTCCAACGGCATTGGAACTACTTATCAATGTTGCGGCAGGTTATTTCCCGACACCCTGGTCCTGAGCATCCGGGCACCCTCTGCCAAGGGTGTTGCGACCTCTCAAACGCCCTCGGGGACTCCATTCTGAGGGAGTCCACCGTGGCAGAGTGGATTTGAACTCTGGGATTATTTATGAGGGGAGGGCCGCATCGTTCTGTTCTGCTTGACATCACGTCAAGACTAATCCTAGTAGTATCTGTATCTCGACCACCTGATTTAGCTCTTCCGTTTCGGTTTCGTCTGAAATCACACGAGAAATCACACGATCTGCGTGCTTTCTTCTTAAGCAATGTCTTCCAAACTTTTCCAGCCGCTCAAGGTTGGCCAGGCCCAGCTGTCTCACCGCGTGGTGATGGCGCCTCTCACCCGCTTCCGCTTCGACGCCGATCACATCCCGCTTGATATCGCCCTCGAGTACTACACCCAGCGCGCTTCGGTTCCCGGAACCCTCATCATCGCCGAGGCCGTCCTCATCTCCCCCGCCCACGGCGGCTTTCCCAATGCGCCGGGCATCTGGAACGAGCGCCAGATCGCGGAGTGGAAGAAGATCACGGACGCCGTGCATGCCAAGGGCAGCAGCATGTTCTGCCAGCTTATCGCGCCCGGTCGCGCGGCCGTCGTCCCCGTCTTGGAGAAGGAGGGTGGCCACCCCCTGCTGAGCTCCAGCGCCGTGCCAATCAGTCCCGAATCGCCCGTTCCTCGGGAGATGACGGCCGAGGAGATTGCTGCGGCCGTCGAGGACTTTCGGCAGGCCGGCAAGAACGCGATTGCCGCAGGCTTCGACGGGGTCGAGATCCACGGTGCCAACGGATACCTGGTCGACCAGTTCCTCCAGGACACGTGCAATAAGCGCACAGATCGATGGGGTGGAAACGTCGAAAACCGTGCCAGATTCCCCGTCGACGTCGCCACGGCGCTCGCCGATGCCGTTGGCTCCGATAAGGTCGGCTTCCGCATCAGCCCCTACAGCAACTTCCAAGGGATGAGGATGGAGGATCCTGTGCCTCAGTTCTCATTTCTGGCTCAGAAGCTGAAGGAGTTGAAGCTTGCGTACCTGCACGTTGTCGAATCCCGTGTCAACAATTGGGAAGACGTCGAGAAAGTGGAGGGGATCGAGTTTATCCTCGAGATCTGGGACAACGTCTCACCCATTTTTGTTGCTGGCGGCTTCACCCCTGAGTCGGCGCAGAAGGCCGTGGATGAAGAGTATGCAAAGTGGGATGTCGCCGTTGTCTTTGGCCGCCACTTCTTAGCGAACCCAGATCTGCCGTTCCGCATCAAACATGGCCTGCCGTTAAACAAGTACGACCGACAGACGTTCTACACTCCATCTATCCCCCGAGGATATATCGACTATCCTTTCCATCCCGATTTCAAGCCCGGCCAGCCCTTGGCCTAGATGAGATGATGACACGACATTTCATGACCGATAGAGGATAAATACGAATAGAAAGATAGAGTCCAGAATCTTCGTTGAAGATGTCATCTCTGTAAGATGAAAACATACGTTTCTTGACTAGCCGCTAAGACAAATTCCCCGGTGCCTCATAATCAGTTATGCAAGGGTATCAATGGTTGAAACAGCGCGGATCGTCCCAAGTGTGATGTTGCATCTTGCAACACACGCCTTATTGCCATCCCCTCGGCCTTAACAGGTAGCACCAGTGGTAAACATCCGGATCATTGGGCTTCAGCTTAGGCGTTGGGATCTTTGCAACCACTTCAACTTCGAATGGTAGGTTCTCGACGTCGAACCGACAGAACGAATAACTCAGCGAAATCCAAAAGCCATCGAGGGTCAGATGCCGCCTCACGCCCTCGGCCATTTTTAAAAATGCTTGCACGCCGCCGCAAGATACCGCATCCACCGTGCTCTTGTCGATAATCAGGTCAAACTTGTCAGCCAGGTGGAGCTGAGTCACGTCCGCTACGAGGTAGCGCATCTTGACATCACCAAATACTTGCTTTTCCAGAACCCGCCCGTGTTCGACCGCCAGTGGCTCGAAATCGACGTTGGTGATATTTGTGAACCCTCGTTGCCGGATATGGTTCTGCAGGTCGCTCGTTCCGAATCCCAGCTGCAGGATGCGCGCCGAATCGTCCAGATTGGCGAGGTAGGGATCCGCGATCGACATCAGGGTCGCCGACGGTGTGAGCCACTCAAAGTTGGTCTCGGAGGCAAACCGTTCGCTCCAGTAGCTCTGTTTATCGAAATCGGCGGGCATTATGTTACGAGTGGTAATGACAAATTTGAGTGTTGGACTTTGTCAATTGGTAAAGATGTCGGTAAATGTGAGGGTATTCGCAGGCAAAGCTGTGGTTTATCGTCTTATCAGACGATCCGCTCAAGAGTTTTCAGAAGCCCACATTTTCGTAAACCTCAAAAACCATGTGACATCATTGTCCTGGAAACATAAATCCTTGTTGTTCTTAGTCTTGATCAGTGCGTCCAGCTCCATAGATATGACTCATGGGTATATGTAGAGCGAGGTGACAAACAGGTAAATTAAAGGCTGGCTATGATAGCTTTGAGCTTAGAGACACGCGGCTCTCTACATAGTTGGGGCTTACTGTTAATCTTGAAAAAGGTATTCGTGTTGGCGTGTACCATCGTCGGTTTCTCTCCAAACAGCCGACATTTTCGAGGAGCGCCAAGACGCAGGTGTAGAAGCCATCCTCAGGAAAGTCCTTTGAGCACACTCAAACGGACTGGAGATAACTTCCTGGCTTCTCATATATGCAAGTACCGTGTGTCTAGGCCGCTGAGAGTCGCTTGTTCAGATCCTCCACAGCCTCTCGAATGTTCATTTCGACATCAAACCTATACACTTTGGCGGCAAGCGATTGGAGTTCTGATTCCAACTTCCGGAAGTCTTTCTTGTGCTCAGATTGAAGCTGGATTAGCTCGCCGGCTCGCCTGCTATTTCGAATAAGCCACTCGCCTCGCTCCCGACGATTTGCGTTAAACGCAGCAAAGGCTGCTTCGATGTCCGGACCGCCTCGGACTCTATCCACTGCTAGCAGCGATGCCATGACTGCGGCATCTTCTATGCAGATGCCAGCCCCAGCGCCCAGGTGTGGCGTGGTCGCATGGGCTGCGTCGCCAATGAGACAAATGCGGCCTTTGGCATATGTCGGAGGACACTCCCCAAGGTCGAATTGCCCCCACTGCACGAGTTGGTCAGATCTTGACATGAAATCAGCTTCGGGCATTCTTCTAGACCTACTCGGTCAAGGCCCTTCAGGGACAGAACGATCTTTTGAAGGCGAGGGCTAAGTCCTTTCACGTCTTCGAGGCAGCTTTGCAGGTCTGCAGGAAGCGTCAGCTGTGTCTCGCTGGGCCAATCCTCGACGCCGGTGCGATGGACAACAACGTTTAACATGGTGCTACGGGCGACCGGGTAGCTGACGAGGTTTACATCGTGAGACACCTGCCTTGGAGTCAGCATCTTCACTGCTTTGCGCTTGAATGCCGAAAGCGCTTCCATGCCTTTCCGCTGAAGACTCGAACTTACCCATAGTCCGAAAGTACCCGCCCTCTCCGCTCCTAAGATCTCTATAGCCTGGGACATTGGGACGAGTCCCCGATAGGCGTATTTGTGCGAATAAGTGCACTTTGCAGACGGATGGTCGCGCCCGACGACAATTCCACGGATCTGGGACTTGATCCCATCACAGCCGATCACCGCGTCCGTTTCTGCTGTAGTACCGTCGCTGAAGACCATTAGTAGTTTTCCGTGGGCGCCATTGGGTTCTTCAATCCGATCCAGCTGCTTCTTGAACCGGATTGTGCTCTCAGGAATTAACCCAAGCAACTCCTTCAGGAACTGCCCTCGATGACAACCCCTCAATCCTTCGGCCGTATCGCCAATAGATATTTGAGTGATGCTGTCGTCCGTCTCGCCTGTTCCATCGAGAAAGTTCCACTGGAACAGCGGCCCAGTCACTTTGTCAAAGGCTTCACGGATCGTAGCATCGCACAATTGCATGGCCCACAATGCATTTGGCGTCATACCCAAGCCGACGCTTTGCTCGGTGAACGCATGTGCCTGCTCGTAGATGACGCATGGCACGTTTCGCTTGATGAGGGAGATCGCGAGCACTATGCCGGCTATGCCGCCACCCACAATTGCAACCTCGAAGCTCTTGTCCTTCGTCGACATGTTTATATGGTGTTGTAGCAGTGCATGTACTCGGGCCCGAGAAGTCGAAAGACTGACAGTTTTTACATGAGGAAGTTGGAGGGGAAACGATATCATGGAGGTATTAAGGTTCTACCGGAGGTCTTAAGGTTCGACCGGGGGTCTTAAGGTTCGATCGGAGGCCTTCATTTCCTGGGCACATCTCCGAACCGGAATCAGACAACGGCACTTGCATGTACTCAAGACGGTCCCTCTCAAGGCAACCTGGAGTCGGGCCAGGTGGGTAGAAAAATTACGAAAACAAAAAAGGTACTGCATGATGAGATCATATCATGGACTCCAGTAATAACCAGTTACCCTCACACCTTCCAGCTAAGTACACATGGATTATGTTGTCTATAAGCGAGCCAAAAAAAAAGAAAGAAAAAAAAAAAACTAAGCTCGTTAAGTATTGCCAAGTGCAAGCTGCTAGCATCTCCGTTCCTTTGCTGGACCCGTATTTATGAGGTTTACGAGATAGTTGCCCCGATGCAGATGGTATGATCCTGGCATAATACAGCAAATTGGTCCGTCCTCCGGGCAACTCCAGGCACTATGGACAATTCAAGCTGTTATTGTTTTTAATGTTTGCTTGTTGTACCTCTTTTGGCCTCTCTGTAATTTCTACCCCTGATAATGCATCTTCGTATAGCCAGCCTTCTTCGTACCTGGCGCGACCTGAGGCACAGGTTTGACTATTAACTGGTCGACGGGGTCTTTGGCTTTGCCAATTATCTACATGGAGGTGGCTTCAGATAGAAATGCGCCGGTGACACCAACCGCCATGTTGTTGCTCATGTAACCCAGATAGGCACGATACTTGTACCAGGAACTATCAGGGGAAGCATCATCGGTATTGCCTTTCCAGTGCTTGATCAAGATGCTCACGTCGCTCGCTTGTCAAGTCTGCTAATGATTGTAGGTCATCAGAAGTTGGAGTCTGCTGTTTGGACGGATATTGACTCTGACATTAGACGTGTTATACAAAACGAGGGGCTGGAAGTGGTTATCAGTACCCTCTATTGGGAATGCCTGGGGAAGTTCGTTTGCTTTTTGCGGCGAGGATATGAATGCCGTAGTCTCACCAGACGTACCTGCTACTACAGAGATATCATCAGTGACTGGGTTGAAGGTGAGGTTGCCATGGAACGCAAATGCTGTAGTGAGGTAGGGCGACGTGACGAACTAGTGAGTTGAGGGATTACATTATAGCGAGCGGACAAGTTTCTGTCGAAACTGGAGATGACAGAGTTCTTCCTAATACTCTTGACATCGAGATTCTTGCGGTCTCATTGAGCAACACAGCGACGCCAACTTGCCTCAGGGTCTCAAGATTGCCATCCTTCTCAGCCACTGTGCGAATCTGCTCACTGCCTGGGCTAGACTGGAAAAGTATTTTGGTTCTCTCCAAGCCATCCTGTCTTGCTTGGACTACAAGGCCCCGAATCTTCGGGATGTTTTGGTACGAGCTGTTGGTACAGCTTCCGACTATGGCAGAGTTTTTCCTAGATGGACGAGAGCTCTCATCCATGTGCTGCTTGAACTCCGAGAGCGGATGAGACAGATAGCGTGTGAAAGGGTCATGTATGCGAGGTTGTCAAGGGAGTAGTCGGTCCACTGACGTCAAAGAGGATCAAGGCAAAATACTCCTTCCAGAACCCAATACGCAGCAAATGCAAGGAGCCGTCCGAAATGACTTCCTTCATAGCTGCTCCGACCATGCGCAGTCTTTCTAAATACAGTCATTTGGAGTCGTATTGGCCGATATTTTTGTAGTCCACAGCCTCGACCTGAAAGTTGCTCGCTTCACACGAGTCGCCAACGCCAACCACAGGAAAGCTCCAGGTGAACTCGGACTTGTCAAAGTCGGCTAGGAAATTCTCTATCTCCGGAACGTAGTCATTTGTTCCTGCTTGAAACGAGCCGTCGGGGTAAGTTCCATGCCAGTGCAGGGAATTCTGTGTGTGTTGCAATCCCACGGAAGACCCTGGTAAGTGCGGCCACGATGCGTCTGTTCCATTCGGCGAAACTTGCGAGAGATTCTGCTGGCCAGTTGAGTCATAAGCAAGCGCTCCCTCAGACTGTTCCATGGTATTATGCCCTTCCTCTGATGAAAGAGGAGCGAATAGGCGAGGATTCTTGTATGGCATATTGCCTGTATACAGCCTGCGGATGGTTAAGTCAACGATGGCACCAAAGCTCCTCTGTCCTTTTTTGACGGAAGGCCACCACTCACCGCCGACAGCCAAGAGGCCAGAGCACGCGCGCAGGCTTCTTGACAGGTCCGCGATGGATGCGTTATTTCGAACGGCCGAGCATGTCCAGAAGGAGTAGATTAGAGTCGCGCCAGCGGCGAAAATGTTCTGGACTGTCCGCCATCCGTGATGCACACCCTGCAAGTCGTGCAGCGTCTGGTAGTCCTGGAGTATAGATGCGGCGTTGTTGAAACAGACTTGGAGTGACTCCGGCGGTGGGTTCCGTATCGCCTGCGACGGCTGGAAGAGCATAATCATCGTTGTGTGATGCTTGATCTTTAGCTTCAGCCGCCACATGCGCCGATGGCGGTTGTCGAGACCTGGAAAGTTGAACGGCTCATCTGCAACCCTTTCCCACCAGCGAACAATCTCGTCTCTAATTCTGGTCTGCTGGGCCTCCGGGTCTGCTGGCAAAGCAAACCAAGCCGAGTCGCACGGAAGATGGTAGAATTGTACTTTGACATCAGAAACGATGCGATCCAGCTCGAACTGGAACCTTGCGAACCGGAGGACCGCTGCTGAGAAAGAAGAAAGCATTGGACTGCTCGTAGGACTGATTTGTCTTGGAGATTGTAATTCGGGCATCTTGACATCGAATGTCTCGTCTCGGAACCCAAGGGGCCTTCCCTGGATAGAGGATACCGACCTGGTGTTGTCAACATCAAACCAAAACGGAGAGCACAGTAATAGATGCAGTCTCACCTATCCAAGGAATATATGGTAAAAAATGCTAGGCGTCGGATTTGCTGGTACTTGATGTCATTCGGATCGGCGGCTGGTGGCGGCTCCCTGTGAATGCCCAACTCAATGCAATGGGCCAGCCCGATGTGAACGAGAGTGAAGAGGTTAACTTCCGCTGGTGTCATAATACTGTGGACAATCAGGGTAACCAGAGCCTGAATCGACGACAGCGATATTTGCGAGAAGCAATCCCTGGAGAAGTATAGCGCAGCCCGATAAAACCTCTCGGGTGGAAATTCGTAGACCCGTGACCTGACTTTGACAATAGCCGCAATGTTAAATACCATGAACAAGATGAATGCCACAACCGGCATGGGCACAGAATGAAAGCCTTGGCCATTGGGTGTCCTTTGTCTTCCGTTCCACCGGAAGGCTTGAACTGAACTGGGCCAGCCATTGGGTAGAGGATCTTCATCAATCGAGCATGGATATGTCGCGTAAAGAGCTTCCAAAGCACTAAGTAGAGAACTTGGCTCGAGGACTGGGTAGTCGGGGTGTATCCATCGGATGTAGGTGTGAACCAGCTTTACAGAATCTTCCTTTCTGGGAAGCTCCTGTAGGGAAAAGAATATCAGCGTCGTTCTTGTCTGTGGAAGGGACAAGCTCAAGGACGAACCTGTCTTAGAAAAACGTGCATGGAACGGTTATGCTGTTGCGAGACGTTGTCAGGCCCTGAGGCCGATATCTCATGCCATTCGGAAGATGGGCCTTGGGCTTGTACGTCATCCAGCAAAGCCGCAGTTGTCGACTCGGCACTAGAAGGAGACGTCCCTATGAGGTTTGTGAATAGAGCCCCGGAGCTTGACCCTAGGTAGTACTTTCGATTGGAGTCCGAATTCAGGGACAAAAACCCCGGGTTCATCGCGACTGAGTGTGTGGGGTCTGGAAATTGCTCATCGTGTTTGTAGGAACTCATGGTTTCCGCGGGCCGCTTGATTCCCATCCGTTGGGACCCAAGACTCAGGGTTTGTCGAGTGGGCTGGCAGCTTCCGGGACCGGACCGAAACGACGAGGTCGAGACGACTTCATCGTCCTGGTCCGCGTCAGCGACGTTAGCCGATCCTTTCGGGTCGGGAAAGGCGTCAATCTGCGGGCCTTGTGAGAGGTCGACATCAGGGAGGCGTTGTTTGATAATGTTTTCGAGCCATTGAATTCTAGCACGGGCAGCACTAGCGAAACTGTGCCCCGGGAGGTCGACTCGACCTGTCAGCGAGGGACTTTTGGATCAGCCCAACCATGCAGCAGGGATGGCTCCGACCGCTAGGTAAAGGCTCGCTTTGTGAACGTGGTAGATCAGGAACAGAGGTGTTATGCTTACTTGCGAGGAACCAGTAAGCCGGAATTCTGGCTGTCGACGTCCAGGCAAGTTTCGCCAGCTCTTGCGCAGTTGGTACACGCAGGGACTTCTCCGTCACACTAGAAAGGAATGAGCAACGCAAAACAACCAGACCGGAACGACGCGGCGGATCGATCCCAGCTAGATCAGGCTAAGAGCAAGCGCCGGCTGGATGGGAGGGCAGGCGATCCGTGGGGCGGGAAACGAGAGACAGCCCTACCTTGATGCGTCTTATGCGACAACGTCGACAGGCCAATCGGACCTTCTTGGGCGGATTCACCCGTGTAGCCATAAGTGGCAAAATGAAGGCGTGTTGCAGAGGTTGTTTGTGTTACCACGGCCGATGTGTCGAGATTTGAGCTGCTAGAAAGGCTTTAGTTGATGGGAAGATGGATCGAGGGCATGTGAATACGCGTCCCAGGCTTACCACCTGGCACTACGATGGCTTTTTGGGACTTTGTTAGGGGCTTGTCACATCAACACTCTCGCAATATCAAACAAGGAGACGAAGGTAGCGTGGGGTCCCCGCCTGGGGTAGAGACGTCTTGGTTCACGGCCGATACTATCCACCCGCAAACTTACAGTAGATGGGCCGGGATTATAGGTTTTCGGTAGAACTGTAGGGAAAGGGAGAACCTTCCCCCAGCGGTCATGGCAGGTTACAACAGCACTTGGGATGAAAGCGATGAGCAATATGTGGATTGACAGGCATGGCTTATCACTGTGCATTTATGCAAAATGCCAATCCGCATGCCAGATAGTCATTTATTCAACCCTCCTTCCCCCTACCATCTCATGTACCATGAGGGTGTCAAGACTTTCTGTATAATAAAGTTATGCCGGCACTGTGTCATCTCTTTCCCTGTCGAAAGTTCTGCCCGGACTATTCTCGTCGGGCAGACATCTCTCTCAAGGCGTAGGTATGCTGTTCTGTCGAGGAGGACATACGATCACGTTGTCTGTTTCATTTGGCGTTGTCCATAAACTATGATATTGTCAAATGTTACAGACCGCCCGTAGTATTGCTTGTCTTACTACTTGTGTCTTCCGACCCCTCTTCTGCCTGCTACTGTGCTTTTTTGTTTGTTGGAAGAATCTTCAAGCATCCTCATCGACAGTGAGGCTCACGGCGTCAGGGATCCCATGGTGTGAATATGAACTAGGCAGTCCCGTTTTACTCCGTCCGATATTGGTGTTTGCCAATAAGATCGAAGATTTCGGAGCCAACCAATGCCTTCTGTCTCAACTCACGCCCAATCGGACCATTCGAGGGTCGTGTCATTTCATAGACCAAAGGCTATTGGATTGCCCAAGAGAATTCCCCGAAAGATCTCCTATGTATGGGAGCCATTGCTGCCAGTTGTAACCTTGGAGTCAGTAGGCAAAGCCCCACAAACTGTAAATCTTTTTATTGTATTTGTTCAGACGACAACGATTGGCTCGGACTGTCTTGATCTTGGGAAACAGGTAAGCTAGAGCCAACGAAACGACTTGTGTATAGTAAAGATCAAGTCCCCTATCGGCGGTGCTCTGTCAGAATAACCCGATGATGGAACCTGCGTGATTTAGAGCCCGCCCATTCCGTGCGTGTGTGTGTGTGTGTGTGTGTGGTGTGTGTGGCTGGGCACTGGTGGTGCAACTGAAGTTGTCCAGAGCAAAAGATGCCATCTCGCCATAATGGAGCTATCCGCTTTGTGCGAATCGCAGAGATGATGGCTCTGCATAAATCCTGATTCCATGATCCGGATCCGGACAAGTTGGTGACTCAGTGGTGCAAACTCAGTTGTCTAGGGCCGGTTACATTACTTGCTGTTATTCCACCGTCTTGGAAATATCCAGCGTTGCTCTGTTGTTTTAGGCACTTGAGGCCGTTTGGGACATCCGAGAAGAATGGACACAACAGACATGCCATCTTAGGTTTGGCGACTGAAAAGATGGAAATTAGCTACCGAGGGAGGAGTCACACTGACGGAATGAGGTCCGCATTCCAGTGACTCTGTGGGCAGAAAAATACGATCCTGTTGCCTCACCGGGGGCGCAACAGAGAACTTACCGGTCATTAATCTCGGAAGAAGTGGCTTGGACACTTTGTTAATAATTGCCACGGCACTCACATGAAACGACAAAACGAAATTATAATCAGCCTTGTGTGGACCCCACCATCGTTGCTTTCGAAAAGCTTAAGAGCAAAGATGCGCTGTCAGAACCGTCTATTATACATGTGGCGTTTTGGATCATTTGTCAAAAGTTTGGGTCAGGCATATTAAACCCTGTTGGGGAGCCTTGCCTTTTTCTCCATGGATGATTGGATAACTAGTTTGGGTAGGGCATTAGAGCAAGTATGAAGCATGTGAATGAGCCAACACTACATCACCACTCCTATCCGAAATACATCTCTACTTCTACCAACCCTTCGACTAAATGCCCATAGCCAACGCACAGCGTCAGACCAGGGTAACAAAGCCAGTGTCCGGTTTCAAGCCTGGCCTGGGCACTCCGTTTTCTGCTTACTTACATATCTTGTATCTTCTGACACCGCCACTGCAATTTGAGTTCCGCTACGGGTTGACCTGTCATCTGCATAACCTAACGACCTGTCCCAAAACGAGATATTCACTCCGCAAAAGCAATGCGCATTCGGCCAGAAAGTTGACATTAACTGCTTGGTGTAGCGAGGTATATATATCAGTTGGTACCATTAATCCAGTTCCATTACACTCATCAGCCTCGAGAGCCCATTTCAGTGACTGAAGACAGGGGCTGTCGGAAACATCTGTAAGCCAGTCCCGTTTGCCCACTCTTCACCATAGCCATATGGCCGGATCCCTTAGCATCTTTGCTAACGTTGAGGTATAGGATTAAGAACAATCCCAGTCACCGTGGTGGTTTCTAAGTGTGGACCCGTCCTCGAGTATGGTGGCAGCGGACAGTCCGACTGGAAAAGATAAATTCCCGCTGCCAGGCGTCGCACATCATCCGTTAACCATACCCTTAGGATTTCTATCACCGCCATGTAGGCATCATGCACGATTACGAATTAATTTGGCAGTCTGCCTCTACATCCATGGTCCGACGCTTTCCCCCCCCACATACACGGACATCGTTCCCTCATCTCTCGACCTCCAGTGAAGCCAAGACGAACGCAGACTCTCCCAAAAGGCTGTTGGGCAACAACGGCTGGTTGGTATAATACTCGTATGACGCCGTGGAGTTGAGGCTGCAGACGGCCACCGTCTTGTTGTAGCCAATGGTCCCGTTCCCAGTGTCCACAACGAAGTTGCGCGTGGTGTAGTCGTAGGCTTTCAGGGCGGCCGTCCTGAAGTCGACGTTGGCGTCCGCGAGCATGCCGAGTCTCCCGCCCTTCAACAGGGAGAAGACGAAGAGGGCGGTGCTGGAGCTTTCGAGATAGTTGCCGCTTCGCCCGGGGAACGTCGTGAGCTGCCACCAGGCCCCGGTCTCCGGGTCGGCGTATCTGACCAGCGACGTGGCGAGCTGGGTCATCACCGTGCGGAGACGTTCGCAAACCGGTTCCGCCTCGGGCTTGCCCCTGGGACAGTTCAGAGACTCCCAAGTCTGTACCAGTCCCGCGACGAACCAGCCTAGCGAGCGACCCCAAACGTAAGGGCTCGCGCCCGTTTCCTTGTCCGCCCAGACGGCCTTCTTGGAGTAGTCGTACCCATGCACTAGCAGCGAGGTGTTCTTCTGGAAGCAGTGCTCGTAGAGAAGAGTTATCTGCAGGCTGATGTCCGTGTAGTTAGGCTGCGGCAGGGATGCCATGAAGGGCAGCACTGAGAACATGCCATCGAGGTAACTCCATTGCGGGTAAACGTAGTACCACAGCCCGCCCTCGGGGTTCCGGGTCTGAAGCGACAGAGACTCATTGATGGCGTTCGCCGCTGCCGAGACGGTAGTTGAGATTGAAATGACATCCGCCTGGGAGGGTCTTGCAACGGCATTTGCGATCGAGAAGCGATCTAAGGGCCGCGTCGCCACATAGGTGGCGTTCGCGAGGGTTGGTGTGCCGGATTCGAGGACATTCTCCAGGTAGGGGGCGTACTGATCCTCGAGGTCCGGGTACTGCGCGATGGCGGCTTCGAGGGCAATGGAGAGAATGCCGGTCTCCAAGTAGCTGCTCGATGCGCCCGACGAGATGATGCCTTGTTTCCGCGCCTTGATGCTGTCGAGCATCCATGTCGAGTACGGGCGGCCTTCGGATGTCGCCGGGGTGGCGGCAGCGAGGGCGCCAAGGGCGAGAAGCCCGGCCGTGAGGTGTCGCATGGCGGCCACGGAAAGGTCAACAAGGAGCCTCCAGAGTTGCTCAAGCCGGGAAGTGAGACTGCAAGCTGACATGAGCACGTTGTGCTGGCTTTATACTGCTGTCGTGACTCGAGCCGGCTGGCCGGTAATTACCGAGCCCGCGTACCTCCAGGAGTGCACCTTCGGGAACGCTATTCCCTGTATTTCTCGCCAAAACGTAAAATGCCGGTCGGTTGTTCCTTATTTTGATAGCTCATTTAGCGTACGGAACAGCCCCATGTTGCATTCCGGTCCACTCTCTCTCTCTCTCAGGGCGCCAATGCATGCTGGCAGCATATCCCCAAAGCACCACGCCATTGAGCGGATTTGGGCGAGTGCTGGAGTCAGCAGGGGTTATCAATGGACTGGTGGGACAAATAATGTCCAAAAAAGCATCGTGCCACAAAAGACTGGAAGCCGTGTGAAGTTATTGCAGCTGATGGTTACTTCTGGAACTGACAACAAGCAGCCCTACGTAGTCCTACGTATTCGGAGACCCGGGAAACGTGGGCTGCACCCTGCTAATGGCTAATTGAGCCAGGATCAGGGCAACGGTAGTAAAATTGACATCAGCACTGCCGCTGGCGGGAACGGTAAAGATGTCGGCATCGAGGTTGGTTTCGGCCCAGGCCACGGCGGCAGGGGAACGGACACGAGCAATAGTGAGCTGGGCGGTACCCGGCGAGAAGGTGTAGACCGTCCCAGCTTTGGCGTGGCCGAGCTTGCGCGTGACCTCCGAAACCGTGTTCTTGACGCTCTGTGTATGCTCGGCTACGAGGCGGAAGACGAGATGGAAGAAGACCATGCCGATACCCTCAATGCCCACGGTTCGAACGTACGCACGGAACAACCTGCTGGTCTGTTGTCAGAAGAAGTTCGGGTTCGTCGCCCAGGCAGGAAAAAGGGCTCGTCATCACGACACGCTCGCCGCTAGTCTCGTAGGCTCCGAAGACGGCACCCGCGAAGTCAAGCTCATCCTCCCGCGCCGTGATGATGCACGCTCTGGTGGGTGTCTTCAAGTGGATTTGTTTTCGAGGACGGGCCGAGTTGGCGAAAAAGTCATCGCCGGTGTAGCCACAGCTGTACGCGACCTTGCAGCCCTCACTTCATGTTCGCATCCACACTAAGCTACGACGGACGGGTCTATCCAAAACTTTGGGACCGACTACGAGACCGACGACACCAGCAAAACCTTGGGCCGTCTCCTAACGAAGCTTCGTTTGACAAAAGGTTTATCCTTAGCACAACCTGGTTTCGATCCAGGGACCTCTGGGTTATGAGCCCAGCGCTCTACCCCTGAGCTATTGTGCTGATATGATTGTGGGGAGATGGACTGAATCCACATTCTGCTTGTGCAATTTGCAGACCAAGACTCTTCAGCAGTCATCAGCAACTACCTCAATGGGTTGAACAACATGTCAATCATGTCTTTCACGATGTCCCTCGCAGAACATCCTGGGCAGGTTTCTGCTTGCTCTCCGTTTATGACTTAGTATTGGCAATAGCCTTGGGTAGCGTACCGTGGTTTCACTTAACTTTCGTGCGCAAGCGGCAGTAGGGTTTGTGGATCTTGGAAATCACCGAGTTGGATAGAGTTTTGCCACTCTCGGCGGTTTGGATCCTACCAGAGTTTGTTCGGGAACCTCTAATACGGGTCGTCTACACAGTTTACTCTCCCCTCTGTTACCATGTTGTGACTATTTTCGGTCACTTGCCGGACAAAGTGTTTCTGTGAAAAACAAAATCAACCCGTGTATGACTCGCATACTACAGTCTGTTGCGTTGGCAGCGTCTAAAACCTACTTTTTAGTCCATGCGTTAGCAACACTATCACAATAACTACCCTAGTTAGGGTCACGCAGGGGGGTTACCCTGCCAAGTGGCCACATACTTTTGAATTATTTTGCGTCACATAGATACTATAGTGTAAATAGCTTTAATTAATAAGCTTATTACTATTACTGTTTAATAATAGTGCTAAAGAAGAAAGGGGATACTACCCCTAGTAGTATAAAGGTATTACTAGTACTACTAGCTAATAGCACTTAAGCCTATAAGGCTACTTATAAAGGATTATTATTATATATAGTTATTAAGTGCCCTATAGTAGTAGTAATAAGGTTAATAATAGTTATTAAGACACTATAAAGGCTAATAGTTACTATAGTAGTAGTAAAGAAATTAATAATAACCTTTAAGACACTAAAGAAGTTAATAAAAGTAACTATTAATAAAGAAGAGGTTAATAATAATAATAATAATAATAATAATAGTAATAGTAGTAAGCTTACTAATAATAATAAAAAGCCTATATAATAGGTGCTTTTTACTTTTAACCTCTTTAAAACACTATTATAAACTCTATTACTATTATAGTAGTAATAAAAGGTAGCTACTACTATAGCTACTCTTTTACTACTACTACTACTAACTAAGGTAATAATCTATTTTACTTTTAGCCTTTAGTTTAATAGTATTATAGTACTATAAGTCTAGCCTTTTTAAATAGTATAGTAGTTAATAAGTTAAGTATTAGTAGGTATAATAATTAAGTTAAAGTAAAAGAAGTAAATCTTAAAGAAGATAAAAGAGTACTTTTAAAGGTAACTTAGTAAATAATACCTACTATTAAAGTTATAGATAACTATTAAGTTTAATAAAAAAAAAAAAACTATAAAGGTAAAGAATAATACTTACTATAGTAATAACTTTAGTAAAGTAAGTAGTAAGTAGCTAGCCTTACTATAGACTAAACTTAGCTTTTAACTAAGTAACCTAGGCTACTAGACTTAAGATATCTTCTTTAGTATAAAGCTTATATACTTTACTAGTTTATCTATATTAGTATTTAGTATACTATAATTAGTTATAAAGTTAATAAGTAAGTAACCTAACTATAGTAAACACTTTAACTATAGTAAGCACTTTAACTATAGTAAGTATTCTAACTATAGTAAGTAACTTAACTATAGTAAGTAACCTAACTATAGTAGCTAGCTATTATATATAAAATTAATAAAAAAAATAGTAATAAGTTTAATAAAAGATAAAATTAACTAAGAGAGAAATATAAAGAAGGACCTATAGTAAAATTATTATTAAGTAGTACGTTTAGGGGGTAATTTATATAGTTAAAAGTGGCTTATTTCTTCTATCTATAGTGCTATAATCTATGTTCCTTAAATATTGCCTTGCTTAGTAGATTCTGCCGCAAGTATCTATACTTAGGAGCAAGGGTTAGATTAATAAGCAACGTTGTTCTAGAGAGCAGTGTTAGTTAGTAATATCCTATGTAATATACCCCCTTAGGCGTTAGCGTAGGTCACTGTACACCTAAATACAAAGGAAAAATAGTTCTTCTAGTGTAAAAGGGCTAGTTATTATATAATTATAGGCTACTAGCATTAGGTGTTCTTATTAGTAGGGCTACTTACTATAAGGCTAGCCTATACACTAGTAAATATTTACCTTAAGGCTAAATTTATAGTTACTTTTTTTTCTTTTTCTTTAATAACTATAATAATAATTATAAGTTATATTATTATTTTTTATTATAATTAATTACTAACTTATTATTATTTTTTATTATTATACTACTTTACTTAATTACTAATACTTCTTTTTTTTTAGATATCTTATAAAACTATTACCTTTAGTAAAGCTTATATATATACCCTTATAGCTACTATAGGCCTTAAGGCTATAGTAGTCTTACTACTATATAACTACTATAGTTACTATAAGTGTACCTTGTCTTCTCTTAAGGAGAAGGAAAAGACCTTTAGTAAGTCTACAAGGGAGTAAGAACCCCCTATAGATAGGTCTTATAAGTATTATCTTATTACTAGTTAATTAATTTTAGTGCTAAAGAACAAGTGTAGCTCTTTAAAAGTAATAATAAGTAGTCTTTCTAAAGACTAGCCCTTTTAACTTTAGTTAAGAAGAGCTATATAACTTAGGCCTAGATTTACCTTTAACTAGTATATTACTACTTATTATTACCTAGTTATTTCTTAATTACTAACTTATTTTATAGATAATAAAGTAGTAGTAAAGTAGTTACCTTTTTACTCTTATATTAATAATAAGGAGAGCCTACTACTGTCTCCTAAGGTTAAGAAGGATTTAGGTAGTAATAATAATACCTTTATAAAGCACTAGAGTACTAGGAAGGTATAGTAAAGAGACCTACTATTATTAGCCTTTATAAGTGTTACTTAAAGAGTACACTTATAAGTTAATCTAATAGTAAGTATCTCTTAGGTCTTAGCCTTAAATATTACTAATATATTATATATTAGTATATATATATACTACTTACCCCTAAGGTTATTAGCCTAGCTAATACCCTCTTATATACTTTAAGTAGTAGAAAGGCCCTATATAAAGTAAGTTATTTCTTATTTATATAATAGTTACTTTTACTTATATATCTTTATTTTAGGTAATTATAGCTATATAGTTATATATATAAGTAGTCTTACCTTAAACCCTAAAGAAGAAGAAGACTACTTTACTTATAACTATCTCTTTTAATAAGGATAAGGAGGAAGAAGATAAGGAAAAAAGAAGAAAAAAAAGAAGAAGAAGGTATATAATAAAGTAAGTAGCCTTAAGGATCCCTTTATAGAGGCTATTACCCCTAAGTGTTCCTTTAGCTTCTTGTTAGTCCTTATATACATTATAGTGTCTCTATTAGTGCTACTTATATATAGGTTAACCTTAATAGCTTTATTAGTAAGCTTCTTTTATATAGGGACTTACTTTATGTTTTATTATCTCTTAGATAATTATATAGATGCCTTCTCTATTAATAATAGGCTCCTTAGCCCTTAGGCTATTTTTACTTTTTTAGAATATTAGGCTCCTTAGCCTATAGGCTATTTTTTAATTTTTGCTTTAGCTTAGGCCCCTTAGCCTTAGGCTATTATTTAATTTTAAGAAGTTTTTGCTTTTGCTTTTTTATTATTTATTAATTAGGTCTTTGTTTCTTCTTATTTACTGTATACTATATATCTTATAAGTTAAAGAGTACTCTAAAGTGCTTAAATTTAGCTTATAAGAGATTCTTAGTAAGTTTATTTACTAGTATCTTATTTATTAGTAAATATATAATATTAACTTTACCTCTATATAGACCTCTATAGCTATATATTCTAAATATTAATATAGTAAAGTTATATTATAATCCTTTTTTTTTCCTTATAACTAAGTAAATTATCTACTAGTTATTATATTATACTACCTATATATTATCTTTTAATTTAAGGTAGATATTATAAAAAGGCGTTTTAAGGTAATAAGCTCTTTAGTTATATAGTTAAGAGTAAAAGCTTAGCTTTAGTTATTAATATTATAACTATTACTTAGTAAGTTACTTTCTAATAGATTAGGCTACTAAAGAGATATATAATATACCCCTAGGATAACTAGTAAGTAATTATATTATTAGTAAAAGAAGTATTACTTACGTAAAGGAGTTATATACCCCTAAGATACTAAAGTATATTAATAAATATAGGGTGTAAAAGAGGTATTAAATATACTACTTTACTACTTAAATATAGTGTACACTTAGGTTTATTAAGTACCTAGAGAGAAGTAAGTAGGTAAATACTATATTTAGCTAGATTATTATAGTAGTATATAGGATTAATCTAACTATCTCTTAAAATAGCTTTACTTCTACTAGTATTATTATCCTCTTGTTTTAGAGAAAGTCTATTATTAGCAGTAGTGTTATAAAAGAAATCCTATCTATATATTTAAACTTTACTACTATATTATAGATATATTAGTTATAGTAAAAGTATATCTTCTAGTTAGGTCTATTATATATAATATAAATACCTAGATACTACTCTACTTCTCTAAGGTCTTTATTTTATATACCTCTTTTAGCCTTATAAT